GCGCCCTCTCCGCAGGCCAAGGGGCAGTTCAAGAAGCAGTCGGTGGCCAACGGCGTGGAGATCGCGGTGCCCGTGCCCAGCGACGCCGACTCCCCGCGCTTCAAGACCAGCGTGGGCAGCGCCAAGTACGTGCCCGAGAAGAACGTGGTCATCTGGAGCATCAAGTCCTTCCCGGTGAGTGAGTGGTGGCATGGCGTGGGGGGGGTCTGAATGGGGAGGCCATGGAGCCGGCGTGCGCATGCGCGGCGGAGGGGGGGGGGAGGAGAAAGGCCTCCTGCCAGCTGCAGTGCGCGTGCGCATGGAGGCCACCTCACCAGCCTGCGCATGTGCAGTGGGGGGAAAGGGCCTGCCAGCTGCCGTGTGCAGGCTACCCGCCAGCGTGCGCATGCGCGTGGAAGGGGAGGGGAAGTCAGGCTAGACTGTCCCACAGGGGGACACTGAGGCTTTGTGGCCTTTGCGCCTTTTTAGTGTGTGTATGGGAGGCAGTTGCGGGGACTTGAATTCAGGGCCTGGGCCCTGCCCCTGAGCTTTTGTGCTCAGAGACTGTGGCACTCTACCCCGTGAGCCACACCTCCATGCAGAGTCTCAGGGACTTTCCTGCCCCAGCTGGCTTCGAACCGTGATCCTCAGCTCCCAAACCTCCTGAGTGGCTGGGATCACAGGTGCGAGCCATCATGATCCTTTAGCTCCCAGCGTGGCAGGGACGGCCAGTGCCCACCACTGAAGGGCTGAGATGGGGCTGAGATGCTGGGGCTAGCCTTGGAACTTCAATCCTCCCGTTCCTGAGTCGCTGGGATTACAGGCAGGAGCTACCACACTGGGCAGCCTTGATTTTTCACATCTATGAGATAGACTGAGGACAGAGCCTGCTCTGTGAGGATGGTCTGGGGAAGGGTCCTGATGCCCCCCTCCTTCCCCCCCCCCACAGGGCGGCAAGGAGTACCTGATGCGGGCCCACTTTGGCCTCCCCAGTGTGGAGAAGGAGGAGGTGGAGGGCCGGCCCCCCATCGGGGTCAAGTTTGAGATTCCCTACTTCACCGTCTCCGGCATCCAGGTGAGAGTGGCGGGAAGAATTTCCCCGGGCGCCGTGGCTTCTCCGTCTCCTGCTCTCAGCTCAAGTCACCTGGCTTCCCTGGCTTGTGACCTCATGTCCCTAAATGGTCTTGCCCTGGCCACTCCCTGGGCACTGAGACCTTTTGTCCTGCCAGCCTGGATCCCCTCTTCCTCTCCCCCTGGCCTGGGCCCCCTCCACACCAGCCCCCCACTACCCAGGTCATCTCCCCCCCCACCTGAAGAATGTGTGCTGCTCCCTTGGCCCATGCCACCTGTCCCCAAACTGGGTCTGTCTGTCGCTCTTAATTGTTTTGATTTTTTTTGGGTGCCAGTCCTGGGACTTGAACTCAGGGCCTGGGCACTTGTTTCTGAGCTTTTTCACTCAAGGCTGGTGCTTTGAGGCCCAGCACCACTTCCGGTTTTCTGGTGGTTCATTGGATAGAAGAGTCTCATGGCCTTTCCTGCCCGGGCTGACTTTGAGCTGCGATCCTCAGATCTCAGCCTCCTGAGAAACTGGGATGACAGGCGTGAGCCACGGTACCTGGCTCCAAACTCTTTGTCTTTCTTCCCACACTCTGCTGCCTCTTTTTTCCTTCCAGGTCTGGACCACTCCCTTTCTCTCCCTGTCACGTGACCTCATTCACAACCCCCAGCACAGAGTTCCCTAATATGCCACATGGATTTCTGGGTTCACCTCTTACTCCCCACCCACCAATCCCTTTCCCTTCCAGGTCCGCTACATGAAAATCATCGAGAAAAGTGGCTACCAGGCCCTGCCTTGGGTCCGCTACATCACCCAGAGCGGTGGTAAGGCGACCTTTCATGCGCTAGAAGGGACTCGGGGCTAGTAACCCATACCTGTCCCCGCCCCCCCCCCCCCCAGCCCTTAGTTTATACATCTTGAAAATGGGGTCAGTGACTAAGATGGATGTCAGTTTGGAACAAGAGACTGAACTCTTAGCATGCCATCTGCTGCTTGCAAAATCAGCTTGAGCCATGGTTACACCACCTTGAGCTTTGTTAAATATTTTCCAGGATATCACGACTGCCACAGGACCTTTGCACATGCAGCATCCTCCATCTGGGGTGCTTTAGCTCAGAGAGCCACATGGCCTCACGTTAAGGGCCCAACATCCAATGCATGTGTGTGCATGCGTCGGTGTGTCGGTACTGGGGCCTGAATTTTGGGCCTCCTTTCTGTCCCTATCGTGTGACAAGCTCTTGCTTTTTTTTGGGGGGGGGAAGAGCCTCAGGGCTGGTTCTCTACTACCTGAACCACACCTCTTATAGCATTTTGGTTGTTAATGGGAGATAAGAATCTCACAGACTTTTTTTCCCCTTTTTTGCCAGTCCTGGGGCTTGAACTGAGGCCCTGGGCGCTGTCCCTGAGCTTTTGCTCAAGGATAGCACTCTACCACTTGAGCCACAGCTCCATTTCTGGCTTTTTCTGTGTGTGTGGAACTGAGGAATGGAACCCAGGGCTTCCTGCATGTTAGGCCAGCACTCTACCACTGAGCCACCTTCCCAGCCTGTCTCTCAGACTTTTCTACCCCAGCTGGATTCCACCCATGATCCTCTGTTCTCAGCCTCCTGAGGAGCTAGGATTACAAGTGTCAGCCACCAGCACTGACTAAAGGCCTTTTTGGTGGAGGCCATCCTCCCCTAGTCTCCCTATTTTAGTATTTGGGGGCCTTTCTACGCCCCCCTCGTCCCTTCATTCTTTGATGGTCCCTCATTTTTCTTCCCTGCAGATTATCAACTTCGAACAAGCTAGAAGGGAGAGGAAGGGGCGACTCTCAGGCCTTTCTCTCTCCGAGCCTGGCTGCAGATTTCGGGGGGGGGTAGGGGGAGTTGGGGAGGGGGCGTGCTGTGTGTGTCTGTGTCCCTGTGCTCCCGCCTGACCCCCCTTCCTGTACCCATGGGCCGGGAGGGACGATCGGGTTTCCTTACCCTAAATTTTATATGAAGAAATAGCGGAGGGGCTTCCAGCCTTCTCCTGGGTGCCTTCTTGCAGTGACCTGCCTTAGGGGGGGGCTGCTGGGGTCCCCCTCTTGCATTTTTAGAGTGTCATTAAAAGAAATCCAGCTGCTGCCCGTGTGTGTCTTGACTGGCGACTTGGGAGGGGGTGGCAGGGACATCCCCAAGGGCTAAAGAGGAGGCAGCACATACTACGTGTCTGTTTTTCAGGCTCCATCACCACGAATTCGGGAGATTGGGGCGGGGGATGGGGGTGGGGGACGGGCAGGGCCATCATTTCCCCTCACACACCCATCTCCAGCCTTCTCGGTCCCATCAGTGTGTTCCGTCCCTGGCCGCCAGGGGGAGACTGAACTCCTAAAATGTGTATCTGCGGCTCTGGGCGCGCTCCAGGTGGTTCTCTGGATCATAAAAGTCAAAAGTCGCCCTAGCCCACTGGACTTCGATCTGCCATAACTTCAGCCCACCAAGATCTCCCTTCCCAGCCTTCGCTCCCATTCCCTCAATTCGCCCACACCCACCACAGGGCCTTTGCATCGCCCAGCGGCCATCCGCGGGGCCCAGGGAAAATCTGGATCTGGGTGGCTCAGCCCGTGGCGGCCATCGGGCCTTTTTAGTTATTTTGATTCCCTTCTCATTTTAGGCTTGTTTTATTATTTTGTGCTGCTTAGCGCCTGAATTATGCCGTTGCTCTTGAGCACAGCAAAAGAACAAGTATGGAATAAAGCTTCCAGCGCGTCCCAGGCTCTCAGCATAAGTTTTTCGGGCTTGTTTTATGAGGAGGGGGAGCGAAAGAAGCGTAGAACCCCCGCCCGGAAGATCCACCCCTGCCTGCCGTCCTCCCCGGGCGCGCCGGGTCAGGGAGCAGCCCGCTCTACCCCGTCTCTGACCTTTTTCCCGAGTCAGTTAAGCCTCCTCTCTTTCCCGCCCGCCCGCCCGCCCGCCCCGGGAGTTTGAAAACTGAAAAAAACCCCGCCAGAGTCCGCGGTTCACCGGTCACCACGCTCTAACCAATCAGGAGCCGCAGCGCCTGCGCGGACTCTTGAAACTTCCCCAGTGACGCGCGTCCATTGGCCCGCGCGGGCCAGGTGGGCGGGGCGGTGGCCGGTCGCGGGCTGGGCTTGGACCCAGGCTCCGGCAACAAAGTAGCGAGTTTGTAAGAAAACAAAGGGCGGTGCTCGGAGGGGCGTGGCCAAGAGCGCGCTGGCTCCGCCCCCTGGGCCGCCGCCGCCACGACGGCGCAGTCTCAGAACTAACACAGTTCCTGCAATGGCTCATGGCGCTAAGTGCGAATTTTATAGCATTCCATTTTTAAAAGAATATTTTAAAGAACGAATGCTTGTACCACTTAGCCTGAGAAGAGTCGCGCGCGCGCGTGTGCGTGTGCGTGTGTGTGCGCGTCTATCCCCTGCTCTTGGGGGCGTGGCCTCGAGCGCCCTGACTCCGCCCCCTGCCGCTGGGCGCCGCCTCTGAGCGTGGAGTCCCTCAGGCTATTTCCTGCCCGCTGTGCATTGGTTTTCAGTTATTATTATTATTAAGAAATAAGGAGGTTGGGATGTATCTCAGTGACAAAGCATTTGCCCAGCAAGGGCAACGTCCTGGGTTCGATCCCCAGTACCGAAAAAGAAGAAAAAAACGCTTCTGCTTTACGTTAAAAACAGAAAAAAAAGGGTAGGCGGTGTGCCGGGGGCGTGGCCTGTCGGGGGCGTGGCGTGTGGCGCGCTGGCCCCGCCCCCGGCGGCGGCCGCGGCGGCGGCGGCGGCGGCCGCGCAGACTCAGAGCCGACTCCGCCCGTGGAGGAGGAGAAGGAGGCGGCGGGTGGGTGAGTTGCGGGGAGCGCCGGCCCCCAAGGGGCGGGCGGCGGGCTGGGCCTTGCGGGCGGACCGGAGATGGGGTTGGGCCTGGTTCCCGGCCCCTGTTGGGGTTGACAGGAGGGAGGAGCCGCTTGCGGGAGCGTGGGGCGGTAGGGGCGGGGGGTGGGGTTCGGCCTGTCCGTCGCCTGGGGAGCCCCGAGACTGGCGCACCGGGATCGCGGGCCTCGGGAGCCTGGCGGCGGCGGAGGCCGGGGAGAGGCGCTGTCTGGGGGCTCCCCTCCCCCCCGCACCTGGCTCTGACGCGGGGTGGCGCCGGGGCGGGAGGAGGGGGATCTTCGCAGACCCGCGGCGGGCGACATGCTGCTGGAGGAAGTCCGCGCCGGGGACCGGCTGAGCGGCGCCGCCGCCCGCGGCGACCTGCACGAGGTCCACCGCCTGCTGCACCGCGAGCTGGTGCACCCCGACGCCCTCAACCGCTTCGGCCAGACGGCGCTGCAGGTGAGGCCCGGGGCGCAGCGCCCCCGGCCGCTTCCCACCCCCGGCGCGCCCCCCGCGCCCGCTGCGGTCCACCTCCCACCGGGGGGCCTGGGCAGGTCCCCCCCGCGCCCGCTGCGGTCCACCTCCCACCGGGGGGCCTGGGCAGGTCCCCCCGCGCCCGCTGCGGTCCACCTCCCACCGGGGGGGCTGGGCAGGTCCCCCCCGCGCCCGCTGCGGTCCACCTCCCACCGGGGGGGCCTGGTCAGGTCCCCCCCGCGCCCGCTGCGGTCCACCTCCCACCGGGGGGGGCTGGGCAGGTCCCCCCCGCGCCCGCTGCGGTCCACCTCCCACCGGGGGGGGGCTGGGCAGGTCCCCCCGCGCCCCGCTGCGGTCCACCTCCCACCGGGGGGGGGCTGGGCAGGTCCCCCCGCGCCCCGCTGCGGTCCACCTCCCACCGGGGGGGGCTGGGCAGGTCCCCCCCGCGCCCGCTGCGGTCCACCTCCCACCGGGGGGGCCTGGGCAGGTCCCCCCCGCGCCCGCTGCGGTCCACCTCCCACCGGGGGGGGGCTGGGCAGGTCCCCCCGCGCCCCGCTGCGGTCCACCTCCCACCGGGGGGCCTGGGCAGGTCCTCCCCCCGCGCGGGCCAGGCTCCCGGGGCCCCTTCCTTAGGGAGCCGGTGGGGGAGGGGAGCGCCCCGCCACCCGGGCTGTGGGATCCCGGTTCCCCCGGTGGTTTTTCCACCCCGCCCACGAGTGAGGGGTTCGGCTTCTTTGTCACCTCCACCCCTCATCCCGTTCCTTGGGGACAGCTCAGGTGTCCCAGAGCTTGTAGTGCAGATCCGAGTCTCTGGATGGATGGATGGATGGATGGAAGGATTCTTCCCTCCCCGGGGAAGGTCCCACACACACACCCTCTTTTTTTTTTCTGAGGAAGGTGTGTGTGTGGGGGTTATCTGAAAGGTATCTAATTACTAGGTGGGCGTCTGTCTTGGTTTCTGAGGGCTGGGCGGTTTCCTGATACCTGTGGGTGTCCCCCCTGAAAATACACTGCCATATTGTATGCGGTCCCTATTCGGGGTAGTTGGGGGGGTTCTGTGGAGAGGGGTGTTTCAGAGCCCCTCCACCCTCTGCACGTCTTTTCCTCCCTTGAGAGGCCTGGCGGGTTCTTTGAGGGAGCAGTTTGCAGGTCCATAAAGGGTATTTTAAGATTTCCTGAGGATTTCTCTCTTTTTTTGGGGGGGTCAGAGTTGGTGGGTTCAGTTCCTTGAAAGTTTCCATAGGGTCCTCTCTCTCTCTCTCTCTCTCCCCCCCTCCTTTCTCTCCTTTATTTGTAACAATTCTGGGGCCTGAACTCAGAGCCTAGCTCCCACTTGGCCTTTTCTGTCAATGCTGGCTCTCTACCACTTGAGCCACGGCTCTGTACAGTTCTGAGATTTTTGTTTTGTTTTCTACTTTAGTGTTTCCTTGCATTCTGAAAGGTGTGACCGGCTGTGTGTGTGTGTGTGTGTGTGTGGGTGTGTGACTGTTCCCAAGAGACCTTGCTGTCTGACATCCTCCTCCTCCACAGAGGGACAGAGGGGTCCCCCACTCTCTCCACCTCTGCTGAAGCCACTTCTTCCAGTGACTCCTTTTCCAGACACCCCCCCCACACACACGGGGAGCCCTCTTGACTCCTTGTTCCCATGCAGGTGATGATGTTCGGCAGCCCCGCCATCGCCCTAGAACTTCTGAAGCAAGGCGCCAGCCCCAATGTGCAGGACGCCTCCGGCACCAGTCCCGTCCATGACGCGGCGCGCACCGGCTTCCTGGACACCCTCAAGGTCCTGGTGGAGCATGGCGCGGACGTCAACGTGCCCGACGCCACCGGGGCGCTGCCCATCCATCTGGCCGTGCGCGAGGGCCACAGCGCCGTGGTCAGCTTCCTGGCGCCGGAGTCCGATCTCCATCACCGGGACGCCAGAGGCCTCACCCCCCTCGAGCTGGCCCGGCAGAGAGGGGCGCAGCACCTGCTGGACATTCTGCGAAGGCACACGGTGATCCCACTGTGACACCCAGGGCGAACCCCTTTTGCGATGGGGGGGGGACAGGGGAGAAACACTACCCAGGTGTGGGGAGGGGAGGGGTTGCAGGGGGAGAGGAGGAGCCATTTGAGGCATTCTTGGTGTTGATTTCTGGCGTGCCGTGTGTTTTGGGTGGGGGGAACACGTTTCTCGTTTTGGTTTTCGCACCCCTTTTGGTGTGTTGGATTGAGAGGGGCTCCTACAAGCCTGCCGCCGCTTGAACGGTTCAGTTTCTCATTTAAAGCCCCAGCCCTGCAGTGAGGTCACCATCTCCAGGGATCTCTGGAACCTGGTGACCTTGGCTGGCAGTACTGGGGCGGGGGTGGGAGGTTGGGGGGGTGGAGGAAGGTCTGGAAAGTGTGGGTGTGCCTGCATCGGGCATGGGGGCTGGGAAGGGGAAGCCTTTGAAATCAAGAAAAGGAGTAGCAATGAGTTCGTTTCAGAGTTGGTGGGAATGGGAAGCTCTTTCCAGTCTCGTGTACAGCGATGAAAAGACCAAAAAAAAAAAGATTCTATTTATTAAGCTTGTTGGAAAACCTGTGTGTGCTAACTTAAATGTTTCTACCCATTAAATTAAGGTTTGTGTTTGATCCCGGCTTGGCTTCTGATTTGTGAATCCGGGATGGGGGGGTACCGCGTGTGCAGGGGGGAATTGAGCAGTGGGGGGTCGCCGATCGTGGGTGCTGGGGGGCGGAGGGGGGAGGGCAGGAGGGGGACGATGGTCCTTCCCCGGGCGCCCGGCTGAGTGAGCTGGGTGGGGCAGCGGTTGGCTCAGTCGGAACGGAAGGGAGGCAGGAAACCGCGAGTGGAGCAAGGGCCCCCAGATGTCAGCTGGGTGCCGGGAGCCCCGAGGGAGGGTGGGGAGGGTGGGTTGGGTGGCCGGCGGCCCCGGCCTTCCCCGAAGGGGCGCGGCCTCCGGGGCCCGGACTTGGTTCAAAAGGCCGAAGTGGGACCGGGAAGGGCGAGGGGGCGTGGCCAGCCGCGGCTCGCGTGGCCCCACCCTTTAAAACACCCGGCGACGGGCGTGGCTAGAGGTGGCCACGCCCCCGACGGGGCCGGCTTCGCGCGTGCGCGCTGGAGGCCAGCACCGCCATGCCGGAACCGCGCGGGTCGTCTTCTCCTCTGCGGGTGAACGCGGCTTTCGCCGCCCGCTACGGCCGCTACCGGGAGCGCGAGGAGCTGCAGCGGCGTGAGTGCGGGGCGCGGGGCGGCCGTCGGGGAGTGTGTGGGGGGCCCGGCTGACGGGGGCGCCCCGATCTGCGCCCGCAGTGAAGGATCGCTACGGGGACCGGGACAGCGGCGGCTCCGGCTCCGACTCCAGCGACGAGCTCGCGGTGCGCTTCCCGCCCCCCCCGTGTAAAAGCGGGGACCCCTTAACCTCTGACCCCTAAGGAAGTTCCCCCTTAGCCACCTGCTGTCTGCACCTTGTCTCTCCTGCCCTGGCCCCCCAATAGTTGTGCTGTCCCCGCCCCCACCCCCAGGTGGGTCCCTGCTACCAAAGCCCGGGCCGGGCTGCTGTACTGCGTGCGTGCAGCGCGACCCCCCACCTGCCCCCCACCTGCCCCCCACCTGCCCCCCCCTCCCCCCTGCCCCCACCTGCCCCCCACCTGCCCCCCCACCTACCCCCCACCTGCCCCCCCACCTGCCCCCCACCTGCCCCCCCACCTGCCCCCCACCTGCCCCCCCACCTGCCCCCCACCTGCCCCCCTGCCCCCCCACCTACCCCCCCACCTGCCCCCCCTACCCCCCACCCTGGGTTACCTGCCCCAGGTTATTCCACGCCCCCTTCTGACGCCGGCCCCGCCCCCTTTCCTGCTCTAGGCCTTTGACCCCCAGCAGGAGCGGGACTTTTATAGGACGCTGTCGTTGTTGAAGAAGAAAGACCCTCGCATTTATCAGAAAGATGTCACCTTCTATCAGAGACCAGGTCTGGGGTGCGGGCTGCTTTAGTCGAACACCTTACGGGGTGCTGGCCAGGGAATGAGTTGTGTTCCTTCTGCGGCGCGGGCAGTGGCTGAGGCTGTGTTCTGGAAGGGAGGTGATCCGGAGAGGCGTGAAGATGGGATGATGTGGGGAGTTCCATCCCGGGGTGCATTTAAATGCCGTGGGAAAGCTGAACACTCCCGGATGGAGCCGGCCCAGGCCTCTCTGTGTGGGCTGGCCCCAGAGGAACTGTGACCCTCTCCTGTCTGTAGCTGGGAAGTGGTGGGTAGGGGATTTGAACTCAGCCCTGCCCTGCGGGGTTCTCTTGCCAGGGGCAGGGCGGGAGGTGGCGGGTGACCGGCAGCTCTCTTCTGGTGGGTCCCCAGCATCATCTTCATCCTCCGAGAGTGAGGAGGACCCAGGGGCGTCTGAGAAGCAGAAGAAAGCAAAGCCCATGTACTTGAAAGACTATGAGAGGAAGGTCATCTTGGAGAAGGAAGGGTGAGAAGCAAGCCCCCCACCTTCTCGTGCCGCCCCCCCCAGAATTCCCAAGAACCTTGGGCCAACTACAGCTTGAGGCCAAAAAAAACAACAACTGGGCACCTGTGTCTCACGCCTGTCATCCTAGCTACTCAGGAGGCTGAGATCTGAGGATCACGGTTCAAAGCCAGCCCAGGCAGGAAAGTCCTTGAGACTTATCTCCAATGAACCAGAAGTGGCGCTGTGGCTCAAGTAGTAGAGTGCTGGCCTTGAGCTGAAGAGCTGACAGACAGCACCTAGGCCCAGAGTTCAAGCCCCACAACTGGGGGGTAGGGGGTGGGGGAACCAAGCCAGAAGCCCCTGGCTCCCACCTGTCATCCTGGCTACTCAGGAGGCTGAATTCAGAGGATCACAGTTCAAAGCCAGCCTGGGCAAGAAAGTCCATGAGACTCTTTTTTTTCTTTTTTGAGGGTCTGGTCGTGGAGCCTGAACTCTGGGCCTGGGCGCTGTCCCTCAGCTCTTCAGCTCAAGGCTAGCGCTCTACCACTTGAGCCACAGCGCCACTTCCAGCTTTTTTTTTTTTTGCTTATGTGGTGCTGAGGAATCGAACCTAGGGCCTCAAGCATGCAAGGCAAGCGCTCTACCACTGAGCCACCTTCCCAGCCCCAAGTCCATGAGACTCTTATCTCCAATGAACCACCAAAAAATGGAAGTGAAACTGTGGCTCCAAGTGGTAGAGCACTAGCCTACCACTCAGGGACAGTGCCCAGGCCCTGAGTTCAAGCCCCAGGGCAGGCACAAGGGAAACTAAAGCCCAAGATTCTACAGAATCAAGGAAACCCCTGAGAGCAAAAGCCTCCATGACCTCCCCGAACACACTCAGGTCCCCCCATCTCCCCAAATGCTAGAAAACACATTGAGCATCCAGTAAACCCATTGCCAAGTCAAGCTGTCGGAAGTTGAGCTGTTGTGATCAGGCGCTGTATTCTAAAGCTCTCCTTCCTTCCTACAACAGCAAATACGTTGATGAGGAGAACTCTGATGGGGAACCCTCCGACCAGAGACTCAAGGTGGGTAGAGTGAAGACTGGGGAGAGAGCTGGCGGGTTGGGGGGGGGGGGAGAATGGGGACGGGGGACTTGGGGGTAGCCTGAGGCCCACATCATTCTCTCCTCTACAGCAGAACTTGTCAGAGACTTATGTGGAAGAACAGAAGCAGCTCAAGGAAAGGTGAGCCTGGCCTTGGCCTGAGTGAGTGCCCTAGGGCCCAGGAAGTGATGTCGGGTTCAGGGGCGGGGCCAGGTCAGCAGAGCACCTGTGCCCGCTTCCTCTTCTCTTCTGTGGGGTTCACGTGACAGCACTGCTGGGCATTTGAGAGGTATGCTCAGGGCTGGCTCACCAGGGTTAATTTTGGGGTTCCAGCAGGGCCTGATCTAAGGCTGTTCCTTTGTTTTCTGTTTTTCTCTTTCAGTTTCCGGGCATTCATAGAGGACAGCGAAGATGAGGACAGCGCTGGGGACAGTGGCTCTGGGTTACTGAAAAAACACACTAAAACCAAGGAGGAAAAGGTCGGTTTTGTTCTGAGGCCTGGCTGGATGGCAAATAGGGAGTGTATCTGGGGATCCTGAAGACCCTTAATCTTGGCTTTCCCCAGGCCCAAGAAGAGGCTGATTATGTTGAGTGGCTGAAGGGACAAAAGGAGATTCAGAACCCTGAGTCCATGAAGGAATTGGTAAGTAAACTCTCCCATTCTACATCCAGCCAACCTCTTTCCAAGAAAGTGACGCTATGAAAGGTCAGCCAAAGGCACATCTGAGGCTGAGGCATAGCCCAGTGGTAGCGCATACACTCACCGCATACACTCATCATTCAGGATGCCCTGGGTTCCATCACTGGACTAACAGCCAAAAAACCAGCCTCCGTTTCTCTGTCTATAAAATGGTGGCTAATCTCATCCACTCTAGGCTGGACTTGAACTTTCAGTTCCCCAAGCCCACGGGGACTCATGCCTGTCCTTCCTTCTATGACCTGAGTCCTGTCTCCCCTCTTTCTCCTTAGGAACACCTCAAGGAATACTGGAACAACCCAGAGCTGGATGAGGGAGAGCAATTCCTTCGGGATTACATCCTCAACAAGCGCTATGAGGAGGAGGGAGAGGAGGATGAGGAGGAAGAGGAGGAAGAGGAAGAGTAAGCTACCATGATTACCTCATGGCACCTTTCCAAGGGCCAACTGGGAAGCCAAAGAGTCCCTTATATTGCTTGGATTTTGTTTGTTTGTTTTTTGCTGTTGTGGGACTTGAACTTGGGGCCTGTACGCTGTCCGTGAGCTCTTGTGCTCAAGGCGAGCGCGCTACCACAGCGCCATTTCCGGTTTTCTTGTGGTTCATTGGAGTTAAGAGTCTCACGGTCTCTCCTGCCCGGGCTAGCTTTAAACAGAGATCCTCAGATCTCAGCCTCCTGAGTGGCTGGGATTACAGGCGTGAGCCACGGAGTGGGGATCCCACCGCCCCCCCCCCCAGCCATGCCCTGTCCTGTCCCTCAGGGCCCCCGGCCCCCCAGTCCAGCTGGCTGTGGACGACTCCTCGGACGAGGGCGAGCTCTTCCTGAAGAAGCAGGAAGACTTTGAGCATAAGTACAACTTCCGCTTCGAGGAGCCGGATTCGGTCTCGGTGTGTGACCAGGGCTGGGGGTGTGGGAGGCCGTGGCCCCCACATTTCTGTGTCCAGAGGACCCCAATTCCTAGGGCCCCTCTGCCGCTCCCAGGTCAAGACATTTCCACGGAACATAGCTTCCTCGGTGCGCCGCAAAGACGAACGCAGGAAGGAGAAGAGAGAGGAGACGAGGGAGCGAAAGAAGAGGGTAGGGTTGGAGGGGAGGTGCGGGGGAGGGCGGGCAGGAGGGGCCCCAGCCCACCCATGGCTCCCCTCCCCTCCCCCAGGAGAAAGCCAGAAAGCAGGAGGAGCTGAAGCAGCTGAAGAACCTGAAGAGGAAGGAGATTCTAGCCAAACTGGAGAAACTGAGGCAGGTGACAGGCAACGACAGGCTGGGTCTGGAAGAGCGGGACCTAGAGGATGACTTCGACCCCGGCCGACATGAGCAGCTCATGCAGGTGCGTGCGCCTCGCCCGAGGCCAGGCCTGAGGAAGCCTGGCTGTACAGTCAGGTTGATTCCTGCCTGTGCAGCCTCAGAGAAGTGTCTTGACCTCTCTGGTGCGAACGCAGGGTTCTTCGGGGCTGTTGTGAGGATGTCCCCAAGGTTTAGTTGTTGTGTTTTCAGGGAGCAGTGGGTTCCCCTACAAAGGCATCTCACTTGATGATGGGGTTCTGTTCTGATAAACTGCAAATGATCACATCCTTCATGTGAGATTTTTGGGGAGGCTGAGGAGGATCATGGGTGGAGGCCAAGCCTGGGCAGAATAGATCACAAGGCTCTATCTTGAAAATAACCAGTGAAGACAAAGCCAGGGATGGGGACCTGGTTCAGGAGGTAGAGTGCCTGCCTAGAAGCCTGAAGTCCTGAGTTCGAACACAAATAGCATTCAAAAAAAAAAAAACTGGACTGGGGAACATGGCATAGTGGTAGCCTGCATGAAAAGTCCTGGGTTCGATTCCTCAGTGTCACATACACAGAAAAGCCCGAAGTGGTGCTATGGCTCAAGAGGTAGAGCACCAGCCTTGAGCAAAAACAAGCTTAGGGATAGTGCCCAGGCCCTGAGTTCAAGCCCTAGAGTGGCAAAAAAAAAAAAAAAAAAAGGCTTTCCACCATCGTGTAATTGGAAATCCCTAAATCAGAAACTTCTTTCTTTTGATGTGAATGGTGCTGTTTTTATTTCTTTTTTGAGCCATTAATATTTATTGTACTTGGAGGAACATGGCAGCATGTCATGGACTCAGGAAGGGGGGGCTGTGTCCAGAGCGGGAACTGCAGGCACCTCAAAGAGGCCCCTCACCCCGCCAGGGAGCCAGGGAAGCCCCGGAGGATGCTGGGTAATTGCTGAGGGAGGTGGGTGCCAAGCTTCTCAGCCTGGAGCTGTGGCTTCTCATCTGTGGAGAGAGTTGCTGTCACTCAAGGATGGGAAGGAGAAGGAATCAGGTGGGCTGCCCACAGCCGGGCATATAGTATGTGCTCAATTAATAATCCAGCGCACGCCTGTCATCGTAGCTACACGGGAGGCTGAGATCTGAGGGCTGAGGTTTGAAGCCAGCCTGGGCAGGAAAGTCCGTGAGACTCTTATCTCCAAGTAACCAGCAAAAAAGCTAAAAGTGGTGCCATGTCGGCCTGGGGCACAGGGTGCAAGCCGGGAGCTGAGGCCTGTAGGGTGCTGGTGGGGAGGGGGGGGGAGACGGGCCCCTGTTCCCCGCCCTGCTCACCCCAGCCTGGCCGCACAGAAATGCTTCGGAGACGAGTTCTACGGCGCAGCGGAGGAGGAGAAGCCGCAGTTCGAGGAAGAAGAAGGGTTTGAAGGTGAGCACAGCCAGGCACCCGCTTCAGGGGTGCAGAAGGCTGGGCCCCCCATTTTGGGGGGATACCCCTCCTCACCCCACCTTTCTGTCCCAAGCAGATGACTGGAACTGGGACACGTGGGCCGGGGCTGGGAGCAAGGAGGAGCCACACTGCGAGGACCCTGACTTCAACGTGGGTGCCACGGGGGGGGGGGGGTAGGGGGGCAGGGGACCCCAGGGACAGGCCCGCAGTGACCCATGTGTCCGGCAGATGGATGCGGACTACGACCCCCACCAGCCCCGCAAGAAGAAGCGGGAAGCCCCCGCCACGGGCAAGAAGAAACGCAAGACGCCCTTCGCAGCGGCCGTGGGGCAGGAGAAGCCGGTGTTCGACCCCGGTGAGGCCTGGGGGGCCCTGGGGCCACGGGGACTGTGTAGGCCCGGGAGCGAGGCGCCGACCCTCTGTCTCCCTCTGTGCAGGGGAGAGCACCTTTGAGCAGTACCTAGACGAGTACTACCGCCTGGACTACGAGGACATCATCGATGACCTGCCCTGCCGCTTCAAGTACCGCTCCGTCATCCCCTGCGACTTCGGGCTCAGCACCGAGGAGGTCAGGGTCCTGGAGGGGGGTGGGGGGAGTAGGGAACCCTGGGGTGCCCCCCCCCCCCCAGGAAGATCCAACTCTTGTCTGATGAGCCACCAGAGTCTGCCGGGCACTGGTGCTCATGCCTGTAAGCCCAGCTACTCAGGAGGCTGGGCGCTTGTGGATCACAGTTCAAAGCCAGTCCAGGCAGGAAAGTTAGGGAGATTTTATTTTTATTTTTTTTTTGGTCAGTTGTGGGGCTTGAACTCTGGGCCTGGGCGCTGTCCCTCAAGGCAAGTGCTCTACCACTTGAGCCACAGCACCTCTTCCGGTTTTCTGGGGGTTCATTGGAGAAAAGTCTCAGACTTTCCTACCCGGGCTGGCTCTGAACGGGATCCTCAGATCTCAGCCCCCTGAGCAGCTAGGATGACAGGCGTGAGCCACCAGCGCCCGGCTTCTCTTAGCTTTTTTTTTTTTTTGTCAGTCATGGGGCCTAAACTCTGGGCCTGGACGCTGTCCCTCAGCTCTTCAGCTCAAGGCTGGGACTCTACCCCTTGAGCCACAGCGCCACTTCCGGCTTTTTCTGCTTATGTGGTGCTGAGGAATCGAACCCAGGGCCTCATGTGTGCAAGGCAAGCGCTCTACCACTGAGCCACCTTCCCAGCCCCTCTCTGAGCTTTTTCTTACTCAATGTTGGTGCTCTACTACTTGAGCCACAGCTCCACTTCCAGCTTTTTGGGGTTAATTGAAGATAATCTCCCTGAGGTCAGGCACCGGTAATCCCAGGCAAACCTGTAATCCCAGCTGCTCAGGAGGCTGGGTGCTTGTGGATCACAGTTCAAAGCCAGCCCTGGCAGAAACATCCGGGACTCTTATCTCCAATAAGCCAATAGAAAACCGGAAGTGGCGCTATGGCTCAAATGGTAGAGCGCTGGCCTTGAGCTGAAGAGCTGAGGGACAGCGCCCAGGCCCAGAATTCAAGTCCCATGATCGACCAAAACAAAAGAAAAAGCTAAGAGATAGTGTCCAGGCCCTGAGGCTATCAACAGTATGAGGTTGCCTAAGTGCTTTAACCACCAGTGCCTCAGTTTCCCCATCTGTAAAAAGGAACCAATAACAGCCCATCCCTGCCCTGTGTAAATGTTGTGGTTCCTGAGGGCTCAGAGTTGGGGTCCTCCCCTCCCCCCTGCAGATCCTGGCCGCTGACGACAAGGAACTGAACCGCTGGTGCTCGCTCAAGAAGACCTGCATGTACAGGTGAGGGCCGGGCCGGGGTTGCAGGTTCCAGCCCTGCCCCTGCCCAGGGCATCTGATGACCTCTGTGTCCCGGGACCCACAGGTCGGAACATGAGGAACTCCAGGACAAGCGAGCATACAGCCAGAAAGCCCAGAACTCCTGGAAGAAGAGGCAGATCTTCAAATCCCTCTGCCCAGAGGAGTAAGTATGGCCGGGGGCGGTGGGGAGGATGGGGGGAGCGGCACATGGTGGCCCACTTGGCTCACAGCTGTGTGACCCTGGTGGGCAAATTATATCCATCTCTGGATAGGATTCTTAACTATGAAACAAAGGTAAGGGCTGGGAAGGTGGCTCAGTGGTAGGGCACTTGCCTTGCATGCATGAGGCCCTGGGTTCGATTCCTCAGCACCACATAAGAAAAAAGCTGGAAATGGTGCTGTGGCTCAAGTGGTAGTGCGTTAGCCTTGAGCTGAAGAGCTGAGGGACAGCGCCCAGGCCCAGAGTTCAGGCCCCACAACCGGACCCAAAAAAAAAAGAAACAAAGGTAAGCTGGGTGCTGGTGGCTCATGGCTGTCAACCTAGCTAGCTATTCAGGAGGCTGAGATCTGAGGATCGCGGTTCAAAGCCAACCCAGGCAGGAAAGTCCCTGAGACTCTTCAATGAACCACCAGAAAAACCGCAAGTGGTGCTGTGGCTCAAGTGGTAGAGGACTGCTAGCCTTGAGCTGAAGAGCTCAGGGACAGCACCCAGGCCCAGAGTTCAGGCCCCACCACCAACCAAAAAAAAAAAAAAAAAAAGTATAGTTTCTAAGTTATCTCGCTGTTGAACCTTGAGCGAGAAAAACCATGTGAAGTGTTTAAAATAGGAGACAGGCGCGGTGGTGCCGGCCTGTATCCCAGCTGCAATAAATGAGCCAAGTCCCATTTCAACAAGACAAGCCAGGTGTGGCGGCACACGCCTGTAGTCACAGCTGGGTGGGAGGCCTGGGTAGGAGGATCTAGAGTCTGAGGCTTGTCCTGGGCTGGGGAAGTGGTTCCGGTGGTAGAGAACCCTCCTGACTTACACGAGACCCTGAGCTCAGGCTCTGGTAGCAAACACAATACAGTCAAGGAATTCGTTTGAGAAGGGGGGACAGGGGCGGAGGCACAGGCTGGCTCGGCTGAGCCCCGCTGTCCCCCCGCTAGGCCGGAGCCCCCCGCGGACGGCACGGGAACGCCACAGAGGGACACGGCCTCAGTTCCCGACGGCGCGGGGAGGAAGCGGCCGCGCCCTGCGAGCCCCCCGGGACAGGAAGCGGAGGCCCCGGGGTCCCCGGGCACGAAGCCCGCGCCCCAGGGGCGGCGGCGCGGCAGGAAGGCGCGGCTGCTGGGCCCCACGGTGACCCTGGGCGGCCGCGAGTTCAGCCGCCAGAGGCTGCAGGCCTTCGGGCTGAACCCCAAACGCCTGCACTTCCAGCAGCTGGGGCGGCGCGGGAGGCGGCCGCGGGGACCCCGGGGGCACCCCTGAGCTGCGGGAGGCGAGGCCACCGCGCCCACGTCCAAGTTCAACAGCTTTATTAGGCCGCAGCCCCCGGCGGGGCCGTCCAGTGCTCACTACAGTTGGAGGCGATGTCGGGGTGTGGCCGGGGCTCGGGGCTCGGAGCCGGCGACACCCGCAGTCCCAGCCCCGCGCCCCGCGACATAAATACAAAAATAAATAGTCTCGCATCTTCCCGCTATAAAAACACGAAGTCCTCGGAGCTGGGCCGCTTGGCCTTGAGGAGGGGCCCCGCGCGGGGCGGCCGGGGCGCGGGCTGCGCGGCCGGGCCGCAGAGGTCGTCCAGGCCCAGGTCCTGCGCCTGGCCCTCGGCCACGGTGAACATGGGGTAGCGCTCCGAGGCCGAGGAGGAGCTGAGCACCTGCGAGGGAGCGCAGAGGGAGAGGCTAAGCCCGAGCCAGCCCGCAACCAATCAGCGCCTCCCGCGGACAGCCCCACGGCCAATCAGTGCCCTCCAACCTTGTGGCTGCAGCCATTGGCGGTGTGCTGGCGCCTGTGTGGCCTGAGTCAGCCAATGAGCAGCAGCCCTGAGATTTTGGACTGTAGTGACTTCAAAATGGCCTGACAGCAGGCAGCTGTCCCCAGGGCGCAGTGACCCCAAATGTTTCTATCCTTAAAGACAGGCTCTTGCTGTGCCGGCTGCAGGGTCCAGACTGTCTTGGAACTTTATGTAGCATAGACTCGATCTGAACTCTAGTTCCCGAATGCCAGACTGCAGGAGTACCCAACTACACCGGGCTGTGACAGACTGCTTCCCCCAGCCCCAAGGGGAACTTTCCATTTCCAAAGACTCAGCCTCAACTCACTGGGCTCAAGGTCCCTGTTACTCTTTCCCCACCAACCTTTCCCCGAACCCCACGTTTCTCGCTTACCCTGGTCAGCTCGGAACAGAGCCTCTCAAACTCCTTCCTGTCTCTGGCGTAGAACCCTATGGTACAGCTGGGGTCCATCTTGGCGAAGGCCATCTTGCGGGGTGAGGTGCAATGGAAAGACTACCGGCAGAGAGGGAGGTTCAGGGCACCCCAGTCCCAGCCCTGTGCTTCTAGTACCGCTCAGGCGACCCCGGCTCTTACCTCTAGGGGGAAGTCAGCTTGGCTGACATCCACAGTGGGCTGGCAGTAGTGGGGGTCCAGATAGAGCAGGAAGTCATCTGTGAGGGTGTGTGGGACAGGTGTGGGCTGGGGAGAGGGGGGGGTAGGTGGGGGCAGTGGAGGTGCACGCTGGGGCGGGGGCGGGGCCTACCCTGGTAGCCAATGAAGTAGAGGGAGTGGCGGGGTTTGCCCCCTATGATGCCCAGGCACAGTTCAGACCGCAGCAGCTCCTGCAGGGAGGAGAAGAGGGGCCACAGATCTCAACAAACACTGAGCTGACCGTGAACCCAGGACAACAGGGGGCAGCCGTGACCAGACCAACCCAGCCCTGTTCCCCTGGGGCTGCATTCTAGTTGAGGTCAGCAACGCACGACCTCTGAGCTGCACCCCAACTCTGGAATAAGCTCCTTGAAACAGAAGAGTCAAGCCAGGTGCCAGTAGCTCACACCTGTAATTCTAGCTACTCAGGAAGCTGAGATCAGAGATCAGTTTGAAGTCAACCTGGGTGGGAAAGTCTGGAAGTAGAGTTGAGTCTCAATCGATAAAAGTGTCAGCCTTGAGCAAAAATGACACGACACTCCCGAGTTCCACACCCAACAAAGACCTCATTGACAGGTGGAACCTGTTTTTGTTTAGACCTCACTGACAGGTGGAACCTGTTTTTGTTTTTTGCTTTTTGTGGCAGTCCTGGGGCTTGAACTCTGGGCCTGAGTACTGTCTCTTTTTGCTCAAGGCTAGTACTGAACTACTTGAGCCACAGCACCATTTGGTTTTTTTCTGGTGGTAATTGGAGATAAGAGTCTCACAGACTTTCCTGCCTGGGCTGGCTTTGAACCTCGATCCTCAGATCTCAGTCTCTTGAGGAGCTAGGATTACAGGTGTGAACCATTGCCAACTGGCAAGAGGTGACTTTGTAGTCTTTGCTACAGATCTAAGAGGGAGTTTGCAGCCAGCCCAGGCAGGAAAGCCCAAGACTTTTTTCTTTTTTTTGGGGGGGGGGGGTCCGGTTGTGAGGCCTGAACTCTGGGCCTGGGCACTGTCCCTCAGCTCTTTAGCTCAAGGCTAGCGCTCTACCACTTGAGCCACAGCGCCACTTCCGGCTTTTTTCTTTTTGCTTATGTGGTGCTGAGGAATCGAACCTAGGGCCTCAGGCATGCAAGGCAAGTGATCTACCACTGAGCCACCTTCCCAGCCCCCAGTCCAAGACTTTTATTTCTAGTTAACCACCAGAAAACCAGAAGTGGCGCTATTGGTCAAAGTGACAGAGCACTCGCCTTGAGCAAAAAGAGCTGTGAGACAGCGCCCAGACCCCAAGCTCAAGTCCCATGACTGGCCAAAAAATGGAAGAAACAACAAGAAAAGCACCAGGGGCTTTCCAGCTTCTAGAACTTGTTCTTTTTGTGTGTGTGTACCAGTCCTAGGGCTTGAACTCTGGGCCTGGGCGCTGTCCCTGAGCTTCTTTTGCTCAAGACTAGGACTCTACAACTTGAGCCACAGCACCACTTCCGGCTTTTTCTGTGTATATGGTGCTGAAGAATCGAACCCAGGGCTTCATGCATGCTAGGCAAGCTCTCTACCACTGAGCCACCTTCCCAGCACTAGAACTTGTTCTTGCTGGAACACTTCTGCTCAATATCATCTGCCTCGTGGCTGTAGGGGGGTTTCTAGGCCCTGCACCCCTCGACTGGGGCCATTCATCTGCTCTTTAAAGTGGTGGTTGTTTTTCTTGTTGCTCAATGCTGAGGATGGAACCCTGACCGGTCTTAACTGGCTAGGTAGAAGTTCCGCCATTTAAGCTGTCCTCCATCCTCATTCCACAGTGTTTTGCTTCTGCTTTAATCCAAGAGGATAGGGAGATACAATCATGCTGGGCTTACTGTTTGAGCTGGGGTCTCACTATTTTGCCAAGGCGGGCCTCAAAATTCAATCCTCCCTATCTGTCTCCTGAGTAGCTGGGATTACAGGAATGAGCCACTATGACCAACCTAAATGTTTGATTTCTATTTTTTTTATCTTTTCCTGGTCTTGACGCTTGAACTCAGGGCCTAGGTGCTGTCCCTGAGCCTCTTTCTGCTCAAGACTAGCGATCTACACTTGAGTCATAGACAGGTCCAGGTTTTTCTGGCTAGTTTATAGGACATAAGAGCCTCGTGGGAGCTTTTCTGCCTGGGCTGGCTTCAAACCGCAATCCCCAGAGCTCAGGCTCCTGAGTAGCCAGGATTACGGGTGTGAGCCTGTAATCGCCCGGGTGCTGTTCATCTCTTGGCTCTGGGATTGAACTCAGTGTTCTAAGCACGTTGCTGTGATACTGAGCCACAGAAGAAGAGTCAGAATTTCTTGCTTGTTTTATTCTCCCTGAATCCCAGCACCCACAACAGCAAGTGACAGACAGTGGGTGCTTTATGAAGCCTCAATAAAACCATCCATTAGGCAGGTGTGTTAGCATGCATCTGCAAGCCCAGACTCAGGCAGGAGAATAGTGTTCAAGGCCAGCCCAGACTACATAGCAAGTTCAAGGTCACCCTGAGCTAAGTACAAAAGAGCCTATCTTCAAGGCTGAGAAGGTGGCTCTGGTAGAGGGCTTGCCTTGCATGCCTGAGGCCCTGGGTTCGATTCCTCAGCACCACATAAGCAAAAAGAAAAAAGCCGGACGTGGTGCTGTGGCTCAAGTGGTAGAGCACTAGCCTTGAGCTGAAGAGCTGAGGGACAGCGCCCAGGCCCAGAGTTCAGGCCCCACGACCGGAACCCCCCCCCAAAAAAAAAAGATCCTTCCTATCTTCAAAGAGTCACCAGCTGGAGGGCAGCTCTGAGGTATTATCACAGACAAGTAAGCACGAGGCCCTGGGGACAGTAACAGGAGATTTGGGATGGTGGAGCGATCCTAACCTGATCTGAAAGCCCGGCTGGCTTCCAGGTGGAGGAGGCGGGACCTACCTTCACGCAGGGCACGTACACAGGGTTGAGCGTCTCGCCTCCCAGCCGCACAGGGACCAGGATGATGACGGACTTCCACTCTGCTGTGGGGTCGGGCCTGGCCACCAGGCGTGCCACATCTGCCTTGTACACTGGAAGGTAAGGGGGAGGGGCCAGCGGGTCACCTCCAACCCACCCCACCAACCGTGCGCCCCGGAGTGTGGGCTGCAAACCCTACCTCATCTGTGTCGCTTATTAGTAGGCAAAAACAAAAATAACAAAAAAGTGTCACCATCAGGAAAGGTAGTTCTGCCAGTACCCCGTCCCCAACGTCCCCCACATAATCCTGGGATACACAGGTGATAAATGGGGGTAGCAGGAGCTGGGAAGGTGGCTCAGTGGTAGATTGTTTGCCTTGCACGCAGGGGGGCCCTGGGTTGGATTCCTCAGCATCACATACCCAGAAAAAGCCGGAAGTGGCGCTGTGGCTCAAGTGGTAGAGCGCTAGCCTTGAGCTGAAGAGCTGAGGGACAGCGCCCGGGCCCCGTGATGGACAAAAAAAAAGAATGCATGGCTGGGCATCAGTGGCTCACATCTGAAATCCTAGCTACTCAGGAGGCTGAGATCTGAGGATCTCAGTTTGCAGCCAGCCCAGGCAGCAAAGTCCTTGAGACTCTTATGTCCAATGAACCACCAAAAAGCCAGAAATGGAGCTGTGGTTCAAGTGGTAGAGCATTAGGCAGGGAGAACAGACAGCTCTGAGTTCCAGCCCCAGAATGTGTGGAAGCATACACCTGTCACCCGTCTACTGTGGAGGAAAGAAGGAAGGCTTCAGGGCTGGAGGCTGCTCATCTAACAAAAACACAAACCTACGGGCCAGGGCCGGGGCTCCAGCGTTAGAGGGCTTGGTGAAAACAGGAAATAGGATCTGATGGAAGACACCCTCACAAGCTTGGGGCTGTCACTCCCCCCCAGTCCTCCTAACTCCCCAGGAGGCTGGGACCTGCGGGTCTCTCATCTCCAATGAACCTCTAGAAAAGTGTGGTGGCTCAAGGTGGTAGAATGCTTGCCTTGAGTGAACAAGCTCAGGGATATAGTGCGCCCAGGATCTGAGTTCAAGTCCCATGACCACCACCACCACCCACAACAGCAACAACAAAGGAGGCCCTCAGGCCAGCCCCTTGGTCTGTGGTAGGAGAAGCAGAGTAAAGCAGCCTAAGCCCCTCCCACCGCATGCGTGCCCAGCGGCTTCCCCGGGTGCCCCTCGCCCTGACCCGACCCCGGGCCCAGCCTCTCACCTGTACAATCCTGAGACACGTACACCGCCAGGCGGCTGACATCACCGCAGCTCTCCACCGCTTTCCTGGGAACAGGAAGGCAGGCCTCAGCACCCAGGCCTCCCTGGAGGCTCCCATCTTTCCCCGCGAGGACTCACCTCAGGATGTGGGCCACCAGCGAAGGTCCATACCAGTCCCCGGCTTTCTTGCCTGAGCTCTGCCCAAGCTCCACCAGCCGATGGAGGCCGAAGGGGGCCTGCGGCCGATCGGCGAACCAGGACACAATCCGCCGGTGCCAACGTTCCTGCTCCAGCTCGGGGGCTCCCTGGGCCCAGTGAGGAGGCAGCCGGCGGGGAGGCCCCCGAGGCCGGCCTGGAGAGGCCAAGGTGGACAGCTCGGCCGTGGCCAGGCCTGAGGCCTCTGCCCACGTCCAATCTAAGGGGGACATGAAATACACAAACAGTGCCGGTGTGCAGAACAGCGCCCCTACTCCTGCACACTATACTTATGTGTGTGATGGTACTGGGGCTTGAACTTAGGGCCTGGGCGCTGTCCCTCAGCTCTTCAGCTCAAGGCGAGTGCTCTACCGCTTGAGCCACAGCACCACTTCCGGTTTTCTAATGGTTTATTGGAGATAAGAGTCTCACGAACTTTCCTGCCCTGGCTGGCTTTGAACAGCGATCCTCAGATCTCAGCCTCCTGAGTAGCTAGGATGACAGGCCTGAGCCACCGGCGCCCGGCTTGCCCGAACCTTTTTGTATGTGGGTTGTTGGGGTTTTTTTGCACTGAACCCAGGACACTGGCCTTGAGCATTTTTTGCTCTAGGCTAACACTCTACCACTTGAGCCACAGCACCACTTCTGGCTTTTTCTGCTTATGTGGTGCTGAGGAATCAAACCCAGGGCCTCATGCATGCAAGGCAAGCGCTCTACCACTGAGCCACCTTCCCAGCCCCTGGAATGTCATTTGAAACGACTTCCTGTTTGAGAAGGATCCTAACATTATTAACTCGACCGTCACTAAACTCCTAGCACACCAACCCTTTCACCTGCCTGACTCACCTTTGGGCAGGAAATGCAGTAGCAGGCCCTGGGCGAGCATCATCTGACCTGTGCGTAACATGCATCCCCAGCCACAGTCGGAGGTCAGGCAGCCTCCAGCCAGGGGTGGGAAGTCCCTGCGATAGGTGAGCCACAGACGGGACACGAAGTCCCTTTGGAATCGCTGGATGTCACCTACAAGATCGAGTTCATCAGCCTCCATCGGGGCCACCCTGGGGAATCTCCCCCTCCACGACCCTGGTCCCAATCCACAAGCTGCTTACCCTCGCCTTCAAAACGATAGCGGCGGCCACAGACGTGAACGCTGGAGATCTTACTAAAACTCGTCCGGCTTTTAACTGCCCAACCTATAGAGGAGAGGTATGTGAGGGGGACCTGGGGGCGGCTGGTGGGGGCAGTGTGTGTGTGTGTGTGTGTGTGTGTGTGTGTGTGTGTGTGGAGGGAGAATAACAGTATAACAATATGATTGATCACTTTCAGAGAGGGGGCAGTAGCTCACATAACCCTAGCTACTCAGGAGACTGAGATCTGAGGATTGGTGGTTCCAAACCAGCCTGGGCACGGCAGTGCGTGAGACTCCAGCTCCAATTAATCACCAAAGGGAAAAAACAAAGTTGGAAGTGGCACTGTGGGGTTCAAGTGGTAGAGCACAAGTCTTGGGTGAAGGAGCTCAAAGACAGTGTCCAGGGCCTGAGTTCAAGACCCAGGACAGACAGACAGACAGACGGAAACACACACACACACACACACACACACACACACACACACACACAGATGGAAGATAAGAGTCCCCACTCTCTCTCCCCGTCTGTGCAATGGGCACAGAACCTAGCCCAGCTCCCAAGGGCAGTTCTAGAAGAACCCTAGCCGACATTCCTCTAAAACGAAAAGACGGGGAGGGGGCGGGCGCGCCCCTAACAATTGTGCCCACCAGGAACTCGGGGAGGGGCGAACTCCGGGCGGGTCCGAGGGGTGCACCCATTGCTCAGGGGGGACGCGGGGGCCGGGAAGGTGGACCAAGGTCACGGGGGGGGGGGGTGGGCGGCCCGGACCTGCCCAGGTCGGTCCGGGCGGGGCCGCACCGGGACTGACGCACCGGGCCGGGCCCGGTTCCCCTCGACACCCCCCGGCCCCGATCGGTGGCCCCGGGGCGCCCCCTCCGCTCACCGTACTTGACGTTGTTCCAGGCGGTCAGGAACCTGGCTTTGAACTTGTCCACCTCGTCCGGCTCCCCCGGGGCGGCCCCGGACGGGCCCCGGGCGGGGGCGCCGGCGCCGGAGCCCCCCCGGCCGCTGGGATCCGGGACGCGGGGCCCCCGTGGCCTGCGCCCCTCGGGCCGGCGCGCGTCCTCCGGGCTCCCGCTCCGGTACTGCGCGGCGGCCGGGGACACGGAGTTCATGGACGAGCCGGGAGGGCGGGCGGGCGGGCCGCGGCGGCCGGGGCGGCCCGGGGACCGGGACGCCGAGGGGCCGCTATTCGGGGGACACCGCGGGCCTCGGGGGACCCCGGCGGACAGCCGCCGCCACCGCCGCCGCCTCGGGCTCCGCGGCCACCGCCGGCGCCATCTTGGCCCCCGGAAGGAGGCGGGCGTGACCCGGCCGGACGCCCCGCCCCGCCCGGCCCCCCGCGGCTCCGAGCCGCCGCGCCCGGCCCCGCCCCTCGCCCCCCACGCACGCGCACCTTATCGCACCGCCCAGCCCCGCGCGCCAGCCCCGCGGGCTCTTATCGGAGAGCGCAGAGGGTGAGGCCACGCCCACCGGCGCGATGGGCACGCCCACCGTCACGGAGGTCCTCTGTGGCCACGCCTACTGGTTCTGAGGCCACGCCCCTTCGGGCGTCCCTGGGCGGCGGCGCCCCGCTAGGCTGTAGTGGGAGCACCTGCTCTCCCCGCCGCGACCCCCTGGCCAGGTCACCCTTCTCCGGGCCTCAGGGTCCTCCTGTGTAACATAGGTTTCGAAAGCGTGGAATAATGGATGACTTCCTGGCATCCAGACGCCGGTGGCTCACGCCTGTCATCCCAGCTACTAAGGAGGCCGAGATCTGGGGATTGCAGTTCGAAGTCAGCCTGGGCAGGAAAGTCCCGTGAGGCTCTTTTATCTGATTAGGCCGCAAAAAGCTGGAAATGGAGCTACGTCCCAAGTGGCAGAGCACCAGCCTTGAGTGAAAAAAGCCACGTGAGAGTGTCCAGACTCTAAAGTTCAAACTCCAGGACACACACACATCTCAAGCCAAATGATGAGGCTCAAGTGGTAGAGGTAGAGTGCCCGCCTGATAATAAGCTTGAGGCAGAGGGAGAGAGAGAGACAGACAGACAGAGAGAGAGAATAAATAGCTTTGGGTTGCCAGGTTTTTCGCTCTCAGGTTATATATTTAATAATACATGTGTGCTTTACCACATGTCAATTATCTTAATACAGTCAATAAATCTGCAACAATCAATTAAAGGCATCTAAATCATGAGGACGTTGGAGGAGCACTGAGTTCACGCCCGTGCTCTCATCCCCGTGCAGTACTCATCGGGACATCTAAAGGACAGTTAGAGGAAGCAGGGAAGGTGGCTCAGTGGCAGAGTGCTGGCCTCGCATGCATGAAGCCCTGGGTTCGATTCCTCAGTACCTCATACACAGAAAAAGCTGGAAGTGACGCTCTGGCTCAAGTGGTAGAGTGCTAGCCTTGAACAAAATCAGCTCAGGGACAGTGCCCTGAGTTCAAGCCCCAGGTTTGACCAAAAAACCAAAAGGGACAGTTAGGGTTCCGTGAGTTCCAACCCTATGGAGACCTTGAGGTGACCCTCTCACGAGCACAGGGTGCCCCCTAGTGGCCTGGTGAGAAAAGCAAGGTGTGAGGAGGAAAAATTCCTGCCCTCCTACTGGTCTTCCAGCCTCCTTCCTACACCTGTGGGGGGGCGGGGAGGGAGGGGAATGATCTCACCCCAGGGCCTTTGTATCTGAAGATCTGAGGACGATGTGCGAATCGAGGTTCAAAGCCAGACACAGGGCAGGAAAATCCAATGAACTCCAACGAATCACCAAAAAGCCAGCAGTAAAGTTGTGGCTTAAGTGGTAGAGTGCCAGCCTAGAGGGAAAAAGCCCAGGGACAGTGCCCAAGCCCCAGGATCAGCACCAAAAAATAAATAAATAAATATAACGCACTTAAGTGACTTTCAATAATGCATGAATGAAGAGCACATTCTTTCTGCTAAAAAGGCAGGAAAGGCACAGGATTTTTCTCTCCTATTACAGTGCCTGCTCATTATTATTTTTTTTTCTTTTGGTTATGGGGCTCAAACTCTGGGCCTGGGTGCTGTCCCTCAACTCTTCAGCTCAAGTGCTCTACCGCTTGAGCCACAGCTCCACTTCTGGTTTTCTGGTGGTTTACTGGAGATCAAAGTCTCACAGACTTCCTTTCCGGGCTGGCTTTGAACCGTGATCCTCAGATCTCAGCCTCCTGAGTAGTTAGGATGACAGGCGTCAGCCTCCAGCGCCCCGCCTGCTCATGAACTTAACTGCCATCCTCTCAGCCATGTCAAAAATGTTCAATGTGTCTCCACCCAGGCAGTTCCCATGGCCCTGGGTGAAATCAATCACACCCTGGAAATCCTTCCCAGGCTGTGCAGCTGCTGAAAGAAATGACAGTGGCTTAAAACAAACATGAATGCAGAGAGGCTCTTTCTCACGGTATGTCACTGTCCTTGTCAAACTTCTTCCCAGCCCTGGAGCCATCGGGTCTAGCTGCCCAAGCATTGCTGACTTCATTCATTCAACCCCAGTCTCACGAGGATTTCCTGTGTGTCAAAGAGCATGCTGAGTCCAATGCTGGTGGCTCACAGCTGTAATCCCAGCTACTCAGGAGGCTGAGATCTGAGGCTCACAGTTGGAAGCCAGCCCAGGCAGGAGAGCCCTTGAGACTCCTGACTCCAGTGAACCACCAAAAACCCACAAGTAGAGCTGTGGCTCAAGTGGTAAAGTGCTAGCCCTGAGCACAAAAGCTCAGAGACAGTGCCCAGGCCATGAACTCAAGACCCTGGAACCACATACCAAAAAAGAAAAATAAACCCACTGAATTTGTGCTACAGAGATGGATATTGGGTTGGAGACATCCAACTTTGTCTTCTTACTTGTTTTGTTTTGTTTTTTTGAGGAGGAGAGTCAATATTAGGCTTTGAACTTAGGACCTCAAACTCACTCAGCTTGCTTGTTAGGTTGGCATTCTAGTACTTGAGACTCCAACCTGGCTTTTTGTTGGTTCGTTGCTGATAGTCTTGCAGAGTTTTCTGTCCAGGATGACTTTGAACTGTGACCTTCCAGATCTGAGTCTTCTGAGTAGCTAGGATCACAGGTGTGAGCCACAGGTGATTTTTTTTTTTTTTGTCGTGGGGCTTGAACTCTGGGTAGCTCTTCAGCTCTAGGCGAGTGCTCTACCACTTGAGCCACAGCACCACTTCTCTACTTCCAGTTTTCTGGTGGTTCATTGGAGGTAAGAGTCTCGTGGACTTTCCTGCCCAGGCTGGCTTTGAACCCTGATCCTCAAACCTCAGCCTCCTGAGTAGCCAGGATGACTGGCGTGAGCCACCAGTGCCCAGCTACCCAGTGATCTTTGCAGATGGGATGTGCGGAAATAAATAATAAACTCATAGACTGGCATTAAAGCTTAGTAGAACATTTAATTTACATGTATGAGGGTCTGGATTCCATTCCCAACATTTCAAAAACTTTTTTTTTCTTTTTTTTTTGGGGTCCAGTCATGGGGCCTGAACTCTGGGCATGGGCGCTGTCCCTCAGCTCTTCAGCTCAAGGCTAGTGCTCTACCACTTGAGCCACAGCACCACTTCCGGCTTTTTTCTTTTTGCTTATGTGGTACTGAGGAATCGAACCCAGGGCCTCAGGCATGCAAAGCAAGTGCTCTACCACTGAGCTACCTTCCCAGCCCTCAAACACTTTTAAAACAGTGAACTCGGGGCTGGGAAGGTGGCTTAGTGGTAGAGTGCTTGACTTGCATGCATGAGGCCCTGAGTTCAATTCCTCAGCACCACATAAGCAAAAAGAAAACAGCCGGAAGTGACACTGGCTCAAGGGGTAGAGCGCTAGCCTTGAGCTGAAGAGCTGAGGGACAGCGCCCAGGCCCAGAGTTCAGGCCCCACGACTGGACCCTAAATAAATAAATAAATAAAAATAGTGAACTCATGTTAGACACATAGCACATACCTGTAATCCTATCTACTCAGGAGGCTGAGATCTGAAGATTGAGGTTCAAAGCCAGCCCAGACAGGAAAGTCCATAAGACACTTATCTGCAAAAACCACCAGAAAACTGGAAGTGGTGCTGTGGTTCAAGTGGTAGAGCACTTGCCTTGAGCTGAAGAGCTGAGGGACAGATCCCAAGCCCAGAGTTCAAGCCCCACAACCGACCAAAGACAAAAATAAATAAATAAATAAATAAATGGCTGAGATCTCAGGATTACTCTTCAAAGCACACCTAGGCAAAACAGTCCATGAGACTTGTCCCCAATGAAGCCACAAAAAGCCAGAAAGAAGTGGAGCTAGCCGGGCGCTGGTGGCTCACGCCTGTAATCCTAGCTACTCAGGAGGCTGAGATCTGAGGATCACGGTTCAAAGCCAGCCTGGGCAGGAGAGACCATGAGACTCTTATCTCCAATAAACCACCAGAAAACCGGAAATGGCGCTGTAGCTCAGTGGTAGAGCGCTCGCCTTGAGCTGAAGAGCTGAGGGACAGCGCCCAGGCCCAGAGTTCAAGCCCCACGACCGACAAAAAAAAAAAAAAAGTGGAGCTGTGACGGAAGTGGTAGAGCGTTAGGCTTGAATAAAAAAAGCTCAGAGACAGTACCCAGGTCCTGAGTTCAAGCCCCAGGATTGGCACAAAAGAAAGAAGAACAGAGGCATGAGGGTGTGACTTAGTGGTAGAGCGCTTGCCTTGCATGCATGAAGCCCTGGGTTCGATTCCTCAGCACCACATACACAGAAAAAGCCAAAAGTGGTGCTGTGACTCAAGTGTCAAGAGGCTCAGGGACAGTGCCCAGGGCCTGAGTTCAAGCCCCAGCACTGCTAACCAAAAAAAGAGAAAGAAAAGAAGGAGGGAGGGAGGGAAGGGAGGAGGAAGGGATGGAAGGAGGGAGGGAGAAAAGTGAGTCACTCAAGGATGAAGTAGGTGCACAGGCGGTAGCCAGCTCTTCACAATCCCAGCTGCTCACCCTCCAGCTGCGCCTGGCTTTCTGCTCTCCAATGCCAGACTGGCAACAAACACAGCTTAGTGCCAGAATTTTGCAGGAAAATGCTCAGACCAGGGCCGAAGCTCTGGCCCAATGAGAGCCCAAACCACGCCCACATTCTCCATCCTGGCCAATCAGAATAGCCCTGAGATGATTGCTGGTTTGAGAACGTGGTCTGAGATAAGCCAATGAGATTCGTGAAGCTGTAGGAGTTAGCTCACTTGACTGTCGTTGGGGTTTTTATTTTGTCTTTTTGTTAGTCCTGGGGCTCTGGAGCTTGAATTCATAGTCTGGAGCTGTCTCTGAGCTTCTTTTGCTCAAGGCTAGCACTCTACCACTTGAGCCACAGCACCACTTTCAGCTTTTTCTGTTATGTTTTGCTGAAGAATCGAACCCAGGGCCTCATGCATGCAAAGCAAGCACTCTACTACTGAGCCACCTTGCCAGCCCAGCTTTTCCTCTTAAGGTTAGCACTCTACTACTTGAGCCACAGCTCCACTTCTGGTTTTTTGCTGGTTAATTGGAGATCAGAGTCTCACAGACTGGGACTTAACTGCTTGGGCTGGCTTCCAACCCAGATCCTCAGAAGCAGCCTCCTTGAGTAGCTAGGATTACAGGCGTGAACCACCAATGCCCTGGTGTCAGATTGTATACTTGAAATGTGTGAATTTCCTTCTTACTTTCCTTTCCTCTGAGGTGCTGGGGTTGACCTCTGGACCTTAATCTGCTATGTGAGCAATTTAGGATAGAATCACACCCCTAACCCTAAGTGTGACCATTTTATGATGTGTAAATTCTATATCCTCACATGGGTTAAAAGCCAGTATTTGAGGGGGCTCAGGGTCCTGCTCTTTCTAGGAAGGTGCTTGGCTACTTGGGCCACACCCCTAATCCTCTTTGCTTCTCTTTCTCAGATAGGATCTTGTTTTTTTGTTTTTTTCCTGAAGCCAGGTGGACAGCAGTTCTACCTACCTGTGTCTCTTGAGTAGCTAGGATGATAGATGCTACTAGATCCAGCTCCTTAGTTGAGATGAGGTCCCAATAACATTTTGCTCATATTGATTTCAAGCCATACTCCTTTCCATGTCTTCCCAAATAGCTGAGATTAAAGATGTAAATCATGGGGATGGGAATGTAGCTCATTAGCTTTGAGCAAAAGAAGCTCAGGGACAGTAGCCAGGCCCTGAGTTCAAGCCCCAGGACTGGCAATATGTGTGTGTGTGTGTGTGCGTGTGTGTGTGTGTGTGCGTGTGTGTGTGTGTGATTGTGGCTGCCTGGGGTGTGCTGAGCAGTTTACACCAAGAATCAAATTTCTACTTAGAGCAAGGCACTGGTGGCTCACACATGTAATCCTGACTGCTCAGCAAGCTAAGATCTGAGAATCGTGGTTCAAAACCAGCCTAGCCAGGAATGTCTCTGAGACTCTTACCTCCACTAAACTACCAAAACAAAAGCAAAAACAAAGTGGCAGAACACTCACCTTGAGCAAGAGAAGCTCAGGAATAGGCCCTGAGTTTAAGCCTTAGGACCAGAAGGAAGGGGTTGGAGAGCGATAACTCACTGAGAATCCAGACTCTCCCTCGCTACGCGTTGATTCCTTGTCCTCTATTTAACCCCGCTGTGAAAGCAGACGCTGTGGGTGGATGAGCTACGCTTTCACTTGGGGAATTCTCCTGGTCTAGGACTGAGTGTGTGAGAGGAGAGGAAAGAGGTGGGACTGTACTCCAGACCCACTCAGCCCCTAGGGAGAAGATGGGGTCCCCCTTTTCACGGTCTCAAGCTGCCACCCTCCCCACTCCCCGTGTGCATGTGCACGTGCACACACACACTTGAATCTTGTTCTTGGAGTCTTTTAGACTCTCCACTTAAAACAAAAAATCTTCCAGTTGGTTGCCAGTAGCTCACGCCTGTCATCCTAGCTACTCAGGAGGCTGAGCTCTGACGATCCCAGTTCAAAGCCAGACAGAAAGGTCCCTGAGACTCTTATCTCCAATGAACCACCAGAAAGCGGGAAGTGGCGCTGGGGCTCAAGAGGTAGAGTGCTCGCCTTGAGCTAAAGAGCTGAGGGACAGTGCCCAGAACCAGAGTTCACCACCAACAAAAACAAAAACAATATTACGTGTAATTTTCTTTTCCCACCTTAAGAAAGCTGCTGGTAAGTAGCTGCAGCCTTAGGTCCTGCCCTGTTGAGACCTGGCATGTAATTGTTGTTCAGAATCTTTAAGCTACATACCTTTGAGAAACCAGTATATGGACACTGGTGCTCTGTGCTGTCATTTCACTACTGTGGAGGCTGAGACAGGAGGATCAGGAGATGGAGGCCAGCTTTGGCTACACAATTTCAATATTGCATTTTTTTTTTTTTACTGGTATGAGTTTTTCTATCCAATTTAGACAGCTGTTTTAGGGACATACCACACACACACACACACACACACACACACTGTGCTGGACACACAGGCTTTTTCTCTGTGAATTGGAACCAGAGTTAGCCCTGGGGCCTCCCATTGGAGACCTCCCCTAAAGTCTGTGTGCTCTGATCTGTGGTTTTAAACCTTCCTGAGTCTCAGGTTCAGGTCATAGGACTGTGGGCAGGGCTACGCAGGCATCCCGGACAGCCCCCAGGACATGTGTGGGGGTAGGGGAGTACAAGGGGGGCATTTTTCCGGTCTAGGAGACACAGAAGTGGGTGCAGACGGGGCGGGGCGGCTGCTGTGGGCGCGGGCTCTGCCAGTGGAACCTGTCCAGCAGGTGTGCCAGCCCAGGCAGGCCTGCGGTGCTCAGATTCCGGCAGGAGCAGTGAGGGTACAGGGTGGGGGGTAGGCAGGGGGTGACGCCTGGATCACCAGGTGCTAGTGGAGGTGGGGGGCCGTGGGATGGCTGAGGCCTGAGCCAAGATCCCATTCACTCCTTTACTGGGAAACAGTGGAAACCCATAGTACCAGCACGGACAATTATAGAGCTCCTACTGTATACTTGACTTGCATTCCAAATCCTTTCACTTCAGCACTTGGCCATGTGACTATTACTTTGTTTTTGGGGGTTGGTCATGGGGCGTGAACTCTGGGCCTGGGGCTGTCCCTCAGCTCTTCAGCTCCAGGCCAGCGCTCTACCACTTGAGCCACAGCACCACTTCCGGTTTTCTGGTGGTTCATTGGAGAGAAGAGCCTCGCAGTCTTTTCTGCCCAGGCTGGCTTCGAACCCCAATTCTCACATGAGAGCCTCCTGAGTAGATAGGATTAGAAGAGTGAGCCAGAGGCACACACCTGGCTTGGCCAAGGTAATTTGAAATATGCTAGCTGCCATTTGAGAATGAGGAGGAGAGGTTCACAGGGAAGGCCTCTGGGAGGAGGGGACCAGGGGGGAAAGGCTTTCCAGGTAGACTGACCTTCCCATTCAGAAGGCGAAAGATCTGAGCCGTTTATTCTGAGGCATATGGGGAACTGGAGCAGGGGAGAGACAGATTAGAGTCAGAACTGTGAATGTGGGGATGGGCTGGAAATTAGGAACTGGGGCTGGGAAGGTGGCTCAGTGGTAGAGCGCTTGCCTTGCATGCATGAAGCCCGGGGTTCGATTCCTCAGCACCACAGAAGCAAAAAGAAAAGAGCTGGAAGTGGCGCTGTGGCTCGAGTGGTAGAGCGCTTGAACAAAAGAGGCCCAGGGACAGTGCCCAGGCCCTGAGTTCGAGCCCCGGACTGGCATAAAATAAAATGAGGAATGGAGAGGCGAGGACCATGCAGGAGATTTCCTGACGCCCGTCCCAGGGTCTCCGTGTGAGAAAGAGGGGCAGGCCCTGGGCGGGGGTCAGAGCGGGGAGCAGGCTGGGCCGGGCCCCCACCGCGCTCAGGAAGTGTGATTGCCGCCTGGAAGTTGTGAAAAGGTCACCCCCCCCCCGAGGTCATTACGGGGCGCCGAGGCGGGCGCCAGATGGAGTCCCATCGTTTTAGGGCTCAGGTTCTAAGCCAGAGCAAGGAAAGGGGACGAACGCCCCGCCCCTCAGGAACCCCATTGGCTGGGCTGGGCTGGGGTGTGATTGTGATTGGTTCAGAGCGGGGCTGGGGGAGGGGGGTAGTAGGGTAGTGGGGGGGAGGAGGGGGAGTCCCCACGGGGCCGCCGGGGGTGCGGCCGGGGCTGACTGCGTCTTTCTTGCTTTCTGTCGGTCGTGGGGCTTGAACTCTGGGCCTGGGGCTGTCCCTCGGCTCTTCACTCAAGGCCGGCGCTCTGCCACTGGAGCCACAGCGCCACTTCCGGCCTTCTGCTGGTTCACTGGAGATGAGAGCCTCGCGGACTTTCCTGCCGGGGCTGGCTTCGAACCCGCGCGCCTCAGCTCTCAGCCTCCTGCGGAGCGGGGACGCAGGCGTGCACCAGGGCGCCCGGCTGGCTGGACGGGTGTCTTCATGCCCCCCCCGTGGGACACCCCTGGGTTCGGACTCCGTTTCCCCGGGGAGGGGGGCGGGGGGGACAGCCGGGCCCGGACTCGGTGGAGGTCAGGGGGAGGCGTGGGAGAGCGGCCCGGGACAGACAGCCCGAGCCCCAGGGCACGCACGCACGCACGCGCGCACGCGCGGGAAGCTGAATGAATGCACTCATTCATTCATTCACTCATGCTTTTCCCACTGAGGAGAAGCCAGGAGAAGCTCAGATCGGGGTCGGGGGAGGAGGGGGGACCGGGGACCCCCATCCGTGGGGCGGGCTGGGCGGCTCGGAGTGGCCCGGGAAGCGGCCGAGGCCCCCCCCCGCGGAGCCCGCCCTCCGCCGCGGCCCGGCCCTCCCACCGGCGGCGGAGGGGGCCGCGCGGGCTCCGGTGCCAGTCGCCGCCGGGCGCTCTCCGGGGGCCGCGGCGGGTGGCACCGGCTGGCAGCCTCGGGGCCGCGTGCCCGGACCCCAGAGGAAGGGGAGGCCCCCCCGCGACCGCGGGAGCCCGCCCCTCCCGCCGCGCCCCGACTCCCCCACGCCCCACCCCCGGCGGCACACTCGGCTGCCCAGGGCGCAGGACCAGGGCGCAGGGGTGAGTGTCCCGGGGCCCTCGGGGGTCACGGCCTGGGGGGCAGCAGGTATCCCCGGCTGGGAAGACTCCGCCAGGCCGCTCGCTGCGGGGCCCACGGCCCTTTCTTTACAGGAGCTCCTTGGTGGGGGGCAGATCTAGGGGTCCCCCTCCGTCCTGTCCTGTCCCGGGACGATCAGAGCAAAGGTCTTGGTACAGACACCACCCTCTCCCCGCGGTGTAATGTCTCTCTGTCTGTCTGTCTGTCTGTGATCCCTGAACCTGCCTATGTACGCTATAACTGCCCCTGGCCGTGTGTTGAAAAATCCCTTTTCCAGTCTCTCCCTCTCCCTCTCTCTCTCTCCCTCTCTCTCTCTCCCTCTCTCTCTCTCCCTCTCTCTCTCTGTCATTCTCTCTCTCTCTCCTCTCCCCCCCATCCCTTGGGACCCGGTGACAAGTATGCTATTTCTTGTTGTTTGGGTTTATTTTGTGTGCTTCTCTTGCTGGGGATTAGAAGCCAAAGTTAGTTCAGCCCGGACAAGGCGCCCTGCCACTCAACTACATCTCCAGAGCCCTGAAATCTATTTTGTGCCGGTTCCGGGGCTTGAACTCAGGGTCTGAGCGCTATTCCTAAGCTTTCTCAAGGCTGCTCTAGTGACCACTTGAGCCACAGCTCCACTTCAGGCATATTAGTGGTTCACTGGAGATAAATGTCTGTTAGACTTTCCTACCCCGGCTTGCTTTGAACTGCGATCCTCAGATCTCAGCCTGAGTAGCTGGGATTACAGGTGTGTGCACCGGTGCCCGGCTTGTGTTACGTTTTTGATGACAAGTGTGTTCCTCTTTGTCAGCATGAGACTTCGGTCTCTTGCCCCTCTGTAAAGTGGGTGGGTAACACCAGCTTTCTCACAGGGGTTTTAGCAGGAAAAAACCTTATGTGTAACAAGGGGTGTGCAGTGTGGGGTGCTGAGCCCCAAGTTGGATGTGGGTAGAACCTGTGAAATTATGGCCTGTGCCTATGGGTGTGACAGCCAGCCTTTGTGGGACTGAACTACTGTCTTTGGGTTGGTCTGTGTCCGTCAGTCTGTCCTTGTGTGAATGTTTTCTCCTCTCTCTAAATTTGGTAAAGCACTGCATTATAACTTTGTTTTGCCTGTACTGAGGTTTGAACATATTCCCTCCAGTTTGTTGGGCTGGTGCTTTACCATTTGAGCCATGCCCCCTGTCTTGCTTTTTTTACACCTCCATCCTCTGGCTGTCTGCCTCCTGAGTGGAAGAATTATAGGCATGAGCCACCAGCATCTGGTTAAGATGTGCGGTTTTAATTTTGTCTATTGTGTGTTCATGGGGTTCTTTGTCACGTGACCCTACATTTGTCCTTTTCTGTGGCTGGTTGTGTTTTGTGTATAGTCATGCTATGTTTATCTGTAATGTACATGTCTAGATAGACATTCTTGCTGTGTTATTAGTGTACTTTTAATGGGACTGTGTGTCACCCTGTTATTATTTGTCTCAGCTCCATGATCACCTACTTTTATCCAGAACCCTTTAAATTGGGTACCAGTAGCTCATGCCTGTGATCCTATGCACAAGAGACTCAGTTCAAAGCCAGCTGAGGGAGGAAAGTCCCTGAGATGTTTTTTTTTTTTTATTTCAAGCCTGTCCTGAAGCTGAACTCAGGGCTTGAACTCTACCCACGACCTTTTTGCTCAAGGCTAACACTCTCCCACTTGAGCCACAGTTCCACTTCCTGATTATTATTATTTTGGTAGTTTCATGGAGAGTAAGAATCTCCCAGGCACTTGAGCTACAGCTCCGCTTCCTGGTTTTAAATTTTTACTTCTGGCAGTTGAGTGGGGACTAAAGAGTCTCACAGACTTAGCCCTGTCTAGGCTACTTGCAAACCCTGATCCTCAGATCTCGGCTTCCTGAGTAGCTAGGATTCTGGCCGTAAGCCATGATACTGGGGTTGGCTAGTCCTTGAGCCTCTTATCTCCAAAAAGAAAGTCTGAAAGTGGAGTTGTGGTTCAGGTGGTGGAGCGCCAGCCTTGAGTGAAAAAGCTCAGGGGCCGCGCCCAGGCTTGGAGTTCAGTCCCCAGGACTGGCACCAAAAACAAAAATAAAAAAATAATTAGGAATACAACCGTCCTGGGACCCCCCCCCCTCCCTGAGCACAGGGGTTCAGGGCAGTCCTTTTTTGGGGGGGATCAGGGGGGTGCAGGGGAGATCGGGGGACGGGATCAGCCGCTCTGACCCTGCCCCTGTCCTCTCCGCAGCCCGGGGAGGGGGTCTGGGCGGCCCATGGAGCCGGGGCTGCTGCGGCCGGCGCCGGTGAGCGAGGTCATCGTCCTGCATTACAACTACACGGGCAAGCTCCGCGGGGCGCGCTACCAGCCCGGCGCGGGCCTGCGCGCCGACGCCGCCGTGTGCCTGGCCGTGTGCGCCGTCATCGTGCTGGAGAACCTGGCGGTGCTGCTGGTGCTGGGGCGTCACCCGCGCTTCCAGGCGCCCATGTTCCTGCTCCTGGGGAGCCTCACGCTGTCCGATCTGCTGGCCGGGGCCGCCTACGCCACCAACATCCTGCTGTCGGGGCCCCTCACGCTGCGGCTGTCGCCCGCGCTCTGGTTCGCCCGGGAAGGCGGCGTGTTCGTGGCGCTGGCCGCGTCGGTGCTGAGTCTGCTGGCGATCGCCCTGGAGCGCCACCTGACCATGGCGCGCCGGGGCCCCGCGCCCGCCGCGCCCGCCGCGGCCGCCGGCAGGGGGCGCACGCTGGCGCTGGCGGCCGCCGCCTGGGGCGCGTCGCTGCTGCTGGGGCTGCTGCCCGCGCTCGGCTGGAACTGCCTGGGGCGCCTGGAGACCTGCTCCACCGTGCTGCCGCTCTACGCCAAGGCCTACGTCCTCTTCTGCGTGCTGGCCTTCCTGGCCATCCTGGGGGCCATCTGCGCGCTCTACGCGCGCATCTACTGCCAGGTGCGCGCCAACGCGCGGCGCCTGCGCACTGCGCGGCCCGGGGCCGGCGCGCGGGCCTCGGCGGCGGCGGCGGCGGCGGCGGCGCGCGCGGCCCGGGCGCCCCGCTCGCTGGCGCTCCTGCGCACGCTCAGCGCCGTGCTGCTGGCCTTCGCGCTGTGCTGGCTGCCGCTCTTCCTCCTGCTGCTGCTCGACGTGGCGTGCCCGGCGCGCGCCTGCCCCGTGCTCCTGCAGGCCGACCCTTTCCTGGGCCTGGCCATGGCCAACTCGCTGCTGAACCCCATCATCTACACGCTCACCAACCGCGACTTCCGACGCGCGCTGCTGCGCCTGCTGTGCTGCGGGCGCCGCCCGGGCCGCCGCCGCCGCGGCTCCCCCGCGGGGTCCCCCGGCAGCTCCCGGCGCCCGTCCGGCAGCGCCACCCGGGCCTCGGGCGCGCCGCCGCCCCAGGGCCTCAGCCTGGGCCCCGGCGGCGGCTCGGGCCGCAGCGCGCCATCGTCGCCCCAGCGCGACGGGCTGGACACCAGCGACTCCACCACCAGCACCGGGAACCCCCGGGGTCCCCACGGCCCCCCGGGCCCGGGCCCCTGAGCCAGCCACCCATGGACGCCCACCCCATCCACACCCCACCCCCAAGACTTTACTGTCATTATGATTATTGTTATTATTGTTGCTCACGTGGTGCTGAGGAATCGAACCCAGGGCCTCCGGCACGCCAGGCAGGCGCTCTACCACTGAGCCACCTTCCCAGCCCCTACCCAAGACTTTCTCCTTTTTTTTTTTTAAATAAAGGAATTTGTAGGAAACGATAGCCAAGGCCCAAACCTACAATAATAGTAGCCTGGACAGAGAAAAACCTTCACCTTGGAAGAATTCTCATGCTGGAGGGCCAGGGGAAGACCCAATCTGATAATGGAGACCATTCCCCAGTGCTGGACTGGTGTAAGACGGTGAATCGTCAATTGGAAATGTCCCAGTCTTGGGAACACCTCAAGAAAAAGTTTTTCCACGGTGAGGAAACCAGAAGTGCAAAGGTCCTGGAGCAGAAATGTGTGTATGTGTTGGATGGAAATAAGGATCTGTGTGTGTGTGTGTGTGTCTGTGTGTCTGTGCGCCTGAGGCAGCAGCAAAGGGAGATGACGGGAAGGACTGTGCAAGGTGTGGGAAGGAAGGCCTTGGCTTTTACTCTAAATGATGGGAACTATGATGGCTCCCAGGCAGAGGAGGGACTTGCCCTGATTCAGGCGTTCCTAGGTATCCCGTGATCCTTGTAGAGAAGTGAAGGAGAGCAGGCCTATCCTCCTAGCTACTCAGGAGGCTGAGATCTGAGGATCCGGGTTCAAGGCCAGCTTGAGCAACTTAGTCCTGTAAGGTGCTTATCTTCCATTAACCAGCAAAAAGCAAGAAGTAGAGCTGTGTGGCTCATGTGGTAAGGCGCCAGCCTTGAGCCAAGAAGTGCAGGGACAACACCACCCAGGTCTTGAGATCAAGCTCCAGAATTCAGACACACACAATGAGAAAATAGAGCACTCACAGCTTATCATTCATAGTTGAGGCTACTGTTTCCAGTCATGCCCTTGCAGAGTGACTTTCTTACCCCAGTTGTCAGATCCAGGTAGCTCCAGTGTTGTCAGATCCAGTGAGTCCCCGGTTGCATCCCTTAAGCTGTGATTTACTGAGTGACTTTTTTTTTTTCAAATGTGGTACCGAGGAATCGAACCCATGGCCTCCTGCACGCCAGGCAAGCACCGTACCACTAAGCCACCCACTGGCCCAGGCTAGGACAGGGCACCTGTGGCCTGGCCTTGAGGCTGCAGCACGCCACCTGCCGGCGGGTCTCGGACAGGGAAGGGAGGAGAGGAGCTCTACCAGCTGGGACCCCATCCCTAACCGGCCACGTGCGTGGGGGACACCCCCACCCCAAGCTCCCCGAGCCTGAGGCGCTGCTCTGGCTCCCTGCCAGGACAGCCACCCCATGAGGCGCCTTTCCATCTCACAGGAGAAGCGAAAGCTCTCGGCACACTCCATCTTCTGCTTCCATTGGTGAAAGGGAACTTAGAAGACATGTTTATTTTTAATATATATACTAAATTCATTTGAAAAAAGCACCCAAGTTTCCCTTTTGGAATTGCTGTCGCTGTGTGTGTGGGGGGGGGAGGGGCTTCTGGGGAAAATTTCCAACTTTTCTGTGGGGAAAAATTAAAAAGGGCCTGAATGTGAATGTCTGCCTTCCTTTTTATGTAATGTATGTGTGTGAGTGTGCGCGCACGCGTGCGCCACAATCCTTGGGTGTTTGAACTCTGGGCCTGGGCACTGTCCCTGAGCTTCTTTTGCTCAAGGTTGGCGCTCTACCACTTGAGCCACAGCACCACTTCCAGCTCTTTCCTGTGTATGTGGTGCTGAGGAATCAAACCCAGGGCCTCGTGCATGCGAGGCGAGCACTCTACCACTTAGGCCACATTCCCAGCCCCTTTTATACTTCTTTTTGTGTCTGTTATGGGGCTTGAACTCTGGGCCTCAAGCCATCTCTTAGCTTTTTCTGCTTGAGCCGTAGCTCCACTTCCTGTATCACTACTACTACTACTATTGCTGGCTAATTGTAGATACAAGTCTCACAGATTTTCTTTCAGGTCTGCCTTCAAACCATGTGATCCTTAGATCTCAGCCTCCGGAGTAGCTGGGATTACAGGTGGGAACCACTAGGTATTGTCTTGTTGGCTTAGCAAGGGCTGACCTAAGAGACTGGGGGCTCCCCAACAGGCAGAATTGGGTAGCTGAACGTTTCTTGGTATTTCCCTCAGTGTTCGAAGCTGGGAATTACACAGTCAGGGCAGGGAGCCCCGAAGCTCAAACCCCACAGCCAATGTATCTGCCTTCACAGGGTGGTGAGAGCGAGCCTCTGATGCAAAGTTCTCTTCTTGGGGAGAGTACTCATGCCAAGTGTGGCAGTGCACACCTGTAATCTCAGCCCTGGGGCTTCAGGAGGAGGCTCGTGAATTTAAGACCCCTTTAGGTTACAGCTTCAGCTATTTAGTGAGATCCGGTCTCTGGAATAAAGAGAAAGCACTAATTTCATCACGGGAGAGGGGAGGGGACCGCATCCTCACACTAAGTGCAGGTGATCCACGCCTTTCATCCTAGATACGCAGGAGGCTGAGATCTGGGGGTCACAGTTCAAATCCAGCCTGGGCAGGAAAGTCCATGAGACTCTTTTTTTTTTATTATTTTTTATTTTATTTTTTTTTTGTGAACACACTGTACAGAGGGGTTACAATTACATGGGCAGGATAATGCGTACATTTCTTATCAAGCATTGCAGCCTCCTCCTTTGTTTATCCTTCACATCCCTTCCCAGCCTCCCCCCCATCCTCCCCCCCCCCCCCAGTCCATGAGACTCTTATCTCCAATGAACCACCAAAAGGCTGGAAGCGGAGCTGTGGCTCAAGTGGTAGAGAACACTACCTCTAGCCTTCAATGGAAAAAAAGGTAAGGGACAGAGAGCATGCCTGAAGTTTCCAACGCGGGACTGGCACCAAAAAAGGCAGAAGGTAAATACAGAAAACCTTAGTCTTTTCTTCCTTTATTTTCCTCTCTCTCCCTCCCTGTTTTTCCCTCCCCACCCCCAGCACTGGACTGTATCCCGAGGCTAGGGCTCTACCACGTGAGCCACAGCACCACTTCTGGCTTTTTCTGTGTGAACGCAGGGCTTCGTCCACACAGGCAAGCACGCTAAGTCACATTCCCAGGCCTACAGATTAGATTTGAGAGTTACAAGTCGTCTTGGCCAGGAGCGTACCTCCATGAGCTGTGCCGAAGCGCCCCTAGAGGGCATGTCTGGAACTGCGGCTTAATTAATCCTAGACTGCCAGCCAGGACTCTGAACACCCTGAATCACCTCAGCCCCATGGGTCCAGGGGATAGTGGGGTTCGAATTTAGGGCCTCCCACTTTCTTGGCTTGCTTCTGGTGCTCTATCACTTGAACCACATCTCCCAGTCCAGTATTTTGCTAGTTAATTGGAGAGGATTCTGGTTGGCTTTGAACTGTTATCCTCCAGATCACAGCCTCCTGGGTAGCTAGGATTACAGGAGTGAGCCACTGCACCTGGCTTACTGAGTGTCTTACTAAGCAGGAGGGGCCTGCGCCCCTATAGGACAAGGGACCCCCAGATCTGCGCTGCAGAGGCCCTGTGTGAGGTCAGGCCTTTCTCTCCTCTGAGTTTGCATTTGTGTTTAGATGCTGATGACAGTACACTTAGTTCTTTTCCTTTTTTTCTTTTGCCTGTCCTGGGGCTTGAACTCAGGGCCTGGGCGCCTCATTTGCTCAGGGCGAGCGCTCTACCACTGAGCCACCTTCCCAGCCCCACACTTGGTTTTTGTTGTGCTGTGCTGTGTGTGTGTGCTCAGGCGGTGCACACGTGCCAGTTCAGGGGCTGGCACTCAGGACCTCCAACCTGTGCTTGGTTTATTTGGTTCAAGGCTGGTGCTCTACCATTTGGACCACAGCTCCACATTGGGCTTTTTGGTGGTTAATTGGAGGTAAGAGTCTCAAGGGGCCTACGGGTGGCTCACGCCTGTCATCCCAGCTACTCAGGAGGCTGAGATCTGAGGATCGCGGTTCAAAGCCGGCCGGGGCAGCAAAGTCCGTGAAACATCTCCGATGAACCACCAGAAAACCGAAAGTGGCGCTGTGGCTCAAGGGGTAGAGCGCTCGCCTTGAGCTGAGGAGCTGAGGGACAGTGCCCAGGCCCTGAGTTCAAGACCCAGGAATGACAAAAAAAATCAAGACAGACAGACAGACAGACAACCCCAACTTCGGGGCAGGGCAGGGGTGGGGATGGAAGGTCCTGGCCTGGGACACCTGCCCCGGGGGGGGGGGCGGCCCTCCCCCCCCTCCTCCCACCCGCGACCCCCGCAGCCCCGGCCCCGCCCGCGGCGCCCCGAGCCCCGGCGCCGCCCCGGCCTGTCCCGCCCCGCCCCGCCCCGGCCCGGCCGCGGGCGCCCCGGAAGCGGCGGGGCGGGCGTGCGTGCGTGCGGAGCCCGGAGGGAAGCCTCGGAAGCCCAGCGGGGCCGCGGTGAGCGCCGCGTGCGGGGGGCGGGGGGCGGGGGAGGCCCCCAAATCCCGGTGCCGCGGGGGGAGGGGCCGGGCCTCGAACCCCGGACTCCCGACCTTCCCAGGGCCGCTCCCCCCCCCGGGCTGGCGGCGGGGCGGGGCGAAGGTGCCGTCCCTGCCCCGGGCCCTTCCCCCCGGGTCCCCCGCCGGCGCCCCCACGGCGCGCAGCCCCCGCCGGCCCCGCCCCGCGCCGCCGCCGGGGACTCTTATTGTGACAGGGCGGCGGGCGGCTGCTTAGTCACGGCGCCGCGCCCCTCCCCCGCCCGCGATGGAGGCGCCGGGCCGCGCGGCCGGGGCGGAGGCGGAGCCCGAGCGCCGGCCATGGCGGGGTGAGTGCGGCGGCCGGCCGGGCCGCGCCCCGCGGAGGCCGCGACGCCGCCGCGTCCGGGCGGGGCCCGCGATCGCGCCCCGCAGCCCCGGCCCGCAGCCCCGGCCCGCGCCCCGGCCCGCAGCCCCGCAGCCCCCCCCCCCGGCCCGCAGCCCTGGCACCCCCCGCCCCGCGCCCCGCAGCCCCCCCCCCCGGCCCGCGCCCCGCAGCCCCCCCCCCCCGGCCCGCGCCCCCTCCCGGCCCGCGCCCCGCAGCCCCCCCCCCCCGGCCCGCGCCCCCTCCCGGCCCGCGCCCCGCAGCCCCCCCCCCCCGGCCCGCGCCCCCTCCCGGCCCGCGCCCCGCAGCCCCCCCCCCGGCCCGCAGCCCCCCCCCGGCCCGCGCCCCCTCCCGGCCCGCGCCCCGCAGCCCCCCCCCCCGGCCCGCAGCCCCCCCCCGGCCCGTGCCCCCCCCCGGCCCGCAGCCCCCCTCCCGGCCCGCGCTCCCCCCCCCGGCCCGCAGCCCCCCCCCGGCCCGCAGCCCCCCCCCCCCCGCGTCCCGAGGCGCCCGCGCTCCGGTCCCGGGCGGGGCTCGGGGCCCCGGGCGCCGATCGCTGGGGGCGCAGCGCCTGGGTCCGGGCTCGGGTCCGCCCGCAGGCCGCGCCGCGCATGCGCGCTGCTGGCCGTGGGGGGCGGGGGCGCCGCTGGCCGCGGGGCGGGGCGGGGGGGGGTGGCCGGCGCGGGGGGCGCGGGGCGGGGGGGGGGGGGGGCCGGGCCCGGGCGCCCGTCTGGGGCCCCCCCGCCCTCTGAAGCCCCGCAGCGGCCCCCAGGAACCCCGCGAACCACCGGAGGACGACGTTCCCGGCCTCCTGACACGTGGTGTCGTGGAGAGGAGAGCCCGGCCCCCCCCCAAAGCGGGGGCAAACTGGGGGAGCCACTTGCCCATCTTCCCTTCAATCCCCTTTCAAAACACACGGCTTGCCGTGGCGCCGTCTCCAGCGAGGGCCCCCTGCATCCTGGTGTTTCTCACTGGTCTTCGGCCTTGATTCTCCAGGCTCCTCTCTCTGCCCCAGGACCTTTGCACTTGCAAAGGTTTAAAAAAAAAAAAGTGATGTGACCCTCCACACTCTGATCTGTTCTTGATCATCTCAGCTCTAAACTTACCTTCTCTGCCCACAAATGTGAAGAGGACCCAGTGCTTGTGACATTTTCCCCTTAGCCTTGATTTCTCTTCTCTTTTCTCCGGTCTTTCCCTTCCTCCACCACGTCACCTCCAGTAGGGCAGACAGGGTTTTGTCAGTTTTACTAGTCAGTCCCTGGTGCTCAGGCACAATGCCTGCCTACATCGTTGATGCTTCTTAAATGCTGGCAAGAGTTGGCCTGTGCTCCCAGGTGGAAAGTGTAGCCAGATGAGTAGAACAGAGTTGAGGAGAAGAGGTAGATGAGCAGAAGGGCTGCTTAACATGGGGTTTTGCAGGCTGTAGAGGAGTTTGATGAGCTAGGAAAGGGCAGATGGCTTTTTCATGGATTGCCAGGTTGCAGGCTAGACCCTAAGGCCCAGCCCTGACCCCAGCCCTTGTCCTCTTCCTACAGAGCCCTGCGTATCACTGCTGAAACTGTGCCCGGCCACCTGGTACCCCATGAAGCGCGAAGCCAAGCCTAGTGGGGTGGGGGCCCTCAGCCGATTCCTGTGCACGGACTGCCCAGGGGACGCCGCGATGTACGCCTCCACCGAGTGCAAGGCGGAGGTGACCCCATCTCAGGACGGCAACCGCACCTTCAGCTACACCCTTGAGGACCACACCAAGCAGGCCTTCGGCATCATGAACGAGCTGCGGCTCAGCCAGCAGCTGTGCGACGTGACGCTGCAGGTGAAGTACGAGAACATTCCGGCGGTCCAGTTCATGGCCCACAAGGTGGTGCTGGCCTCGTCCAGCCCCGTGTTCAAGGCCATGTTCACCAACGGGCTCCGCGAGCAGGGCATGGAGGTGGTGTCCATCGAGGGCATCCACCCGCAGGTCATGGAGCGCCTCATCGAGTTCGCCTACACCGCGTCCATCTCCATGGGCGAGAAGTGCGTGCTGCACGTGATGAACGGCGCCGTCATGTACCAGATCGACAGCGTGGTGCGCGCCTGCAGCGACTTCCTGGTCCAGCAACTGGACCCCAGCAACGCCATCGGCATCGCCAACTTCGCCGAGCAGATCGGCTGCACCGAGCTGCACCAGCGGGCCCGGGAATACATCTACATGCACTTCGGAGAGGTGAGCAAGGAAAGCGGGGAGGGGCAGGGACGAGGGGTGGGGGTGGGGGACACACTGGGTCAGACCCAGCAAGAGCTCCGCGCTGGTGCCTCACGCCCGGAACCCCAGCTACTCCGGGGGCTGGGATCTGAGGATCCCGGTTGGAAGCCAGCCCACCCAGGTAGGAAAGTCCCTGTGAGTCATCTCTGCAGTGAACCACCAGCAAACCTGAAGTGCAGCTGTGGTTGGATATTAGCTTTGAACAGAAAAGCTCAGGGACAGCGCCCAGGCCCTGAGTTCAAGCTCCATGACCACCACCACCAACAACAACAACAACAAAAGACCTAAGAAGGAAAGATACTGTCCTAAGCTGGGCATCGGTGGCTCAAGTCTGTCATCTTAGCTACTCAGGAGGCTGAGATCTGAGGATCGCCCAGGCAGAAAAGTCCCGGTGAGACTCATTTCCAGTGAACCACCCGAAAGTGGAGCTGTGGCTCAAAGTGGTAAGAGTGCTAGCCTTGAGCAAAAGAGCTCAGGGACAGCATGTAGGCCTTGAGTTCAAATCCTATGACCGACAAAAACAAAGCAATAAAAAGATGGGCATGATAGCACATGCCTGTAATCTCAGCCCTTGGAGGTAGAGGTAGGAGGAGTGAAAGTTTCAGGCCAGCCTAGGCTATGTGGTACCAACATGGGGGGAAGAGGAGATGAGTGTAGACGCAATGGGTGAACATGCCAGAGACCCACTTCTGGGGTGCACAGAATCTGCAGTCAGCAGATTTATCAAACACCCATGCCGAGCTGTGCACCATACCTACCTAGCCTCGCCCAGCGGCCCCACCCCCATCTTGCTTTGCTTTCATTTTCTTTTTCTTTCTTTTCTTTCAGTTCAGGAAGTTGTCAAGTAACAGGGGAGATTTTTAAAAGAAAAAAAAAGAAAAAAATGTATCTATAAGGAACCCTGGTTCTGGGAGGTCAGCAAGGAGAGGCTGCGCCCTCAGGGGGACAGCGCACCGTTTTGTAACCCCAGTCTCCAGACCCCCAAATCAGAAAGAATCCAGACCTCAAGATGGGACTTGCTACAAGTGGAAAATTCCACACCTTACCCCGTCTCTGGCTGTCAGCAAAGCTGATGAGCCGTCACTGCGCTCCACTTGTGGCTTTTTTGCTGGTTAACTGGAGATAAGAGTCTCATAAAGTTGCTTTCTCAGGCTAGGTTTGAACCAGGATCCTGAGATTTCAAGCCCCTGAGTAGCTGCGATGACAGCGTGAACCCCAAGTGCTGTTAGCACTAAAAGTGGTGCAGAAAGCTGGCTTCAGCCTGTCTGCCTGCACGTGATTTGCATATAAGAGAGACATCACTGGGGAACTTTGTGTCTGGATTTGAGAGTTGCATTCTCAAGATATATGCAAATATTATAAAACCAGAAAGAAAAATACCCAAGTCTAGCCGGTGCGGGTGGCTCACGCCTGTCATCCTAGCTACTCAGGAGGCTGAGATCTGAGGATCGAGGTTCAAAGCCCGGGCAGGAAAATCCGTGAAACTCTTATCTCCAATGAACCACTCAGAAAAGCAGAAGTGGTGCTGTGGCCCAGGTGGTAGAGCCCTCGCCTTGAGCTGAGGAGCTGAAGGACAGCGCCCAGGCCCAGAGTTCAAGCCCCACAACCGACAAAAAAAAATAAATATCCAAGTGTATTCCTAAGCGTTTTCGGGTAAGAGGTGTTCACTCTGTGCTTAGCGTTTACTTGAGCTGAGGATGGAGCTCAGCCCAGCTTGCTGGAGATCCTGGGTTCCAACCCTGGCCTCGCTGAGCCACGCCCCCAGCCAAGCCACGCCCCCAGGACCCTGCCCAATCACACTCCCAGGGCAGAGCCCTGCCCAATCCCAGAGCCACGCCCCAGGGCGGAGACCTGCCCAATCGGCCACGCCCCCATTACGGAGCCACGCCCCCAACCGCAGAAGCATTTACTGAGTACTTGGCCCACTCCTGATGCAGCCCATCTCCCAGGAAGAAACAGCCCTCCAGGCCCTGCTGGGAGTCTTGGCCTTTGGGATGCTTCCTCCGGTGATGGCCCCGGACCAGCTTAGGTGGATGGCCCAGGACAGCTTAGGTGGATGGATTCTTGCCACCCCCTTCCACTGCTTGGGTCGACCTGATGTCCAAAAAGGCTCTGGCGTTATTCCCACTGCCCAAGGCCCCCAGGCAGGGGATGCAGCAAGCAGCCCCTCCCCCCACTGGCCCGTGCAGTGTTTCTTCCTTCATATTGCCAGAGACATTGCAATTGTGATTCTGGGAGAAACTGATGTTCGCCTTGCTACTCAGGAAGCTGAGATCTGAGGATCACAGTTTGAAGCCAGCCTGCATTACACAGATCCTATCGACTCTCAGGTTACCCATCAGGCTAGGGGTGGAGCTTCAGTGGCAGAGTGCTGACCTTGAGCAGAGAAAGCTAAGCGTAAGCCTGGCACCCGTGGCTCACATCTGAAACCCTAGCTTCTCAGGCTGAGATCTGAGGATCGTGGTTCAAAGCATACCCGGGCAGGAAAGTCCATAGTCTGTGGGACTTTTTGTTTTTTGTCGGTCGTGGGGCTTGAACTCGGGGCCTGGGCGCTGTCCCTCAGCTCCTCAGCTCAAGGCGAGCGCTCTACCCCTTGAGCCACAGCGCCACTTCCGGTTTCCTGGTGGTTCATTGGAGATGAAGAGTCTCACTGCCCGGATCTCAGCCTCCTGAGTAGCTAGGACGCCCGGCTACCCATGAGACTCTCATCCAGGGGAAGGCGAGCGGGTGGGGGCGGCCCGGGTCCCCGCCCCCGGGTCACGCCCAGCTCTCCTCCCCCCCAACACGCACAGGTGGCCAAGCAGGAGGAATTCTTCAACCTGACCCACTGCCAGCTGGTGACGCTCATCAGCCGCGACGACCTGAACGTGCGCTGCGAGTCGGAGGTGTTTCACGCCTGCATCGACTGGGTCAAGTACGACTGCGAGCACCGCCGGTACTACGTGCAGGCGCTGCTGCGCGCGGTGCGCTGCCACTCGCTGACGCCGCACTTCCTGCAGATGCAGCTGCAGAAGTGCGAGATCCTGCGCGCCGACTCGCGCTGCAAGGACTACCTGGTGAAGATCTTCCAGGAGCTCACGCTGCACAAGCCCACGCCCGTGGTGCCCTGCCGCGCGCCCAAGGTGGGCCGCCTCATCTACACGGCCGGCGGCTACTTCCGACAGTCGCTCAGCTACCTGGAGGCCTACAACCCCTGCACCGGCACCTGGCTGCGGCTGGCCGACCTGCAGGTGCCCCGGAGCGGCCTGGCGGGCTGCGTGGTCGGCGGGCTGCTCTACGCCGTCGGGGGCCGGAACAACTCCCCCGACGGCAACACCGACTCCAGCGCCCTGGACTGCTACAACCCCATGACCAACCAGTGGTCGCCCTGCGCCCCCATGAGCGTGCCGCGCAACCGCATTGGGGTCGGCGTCATCGACGGCCACATCTATGCCGTCGGGGGCTCCCACGGCTGCATCCACCACAACAGCGTGGAGAGGTAGGCGCCAGGCCCTGCCACCCACCCGGCCTCGGGGACCAAGGGTGGGGCCCCGGATACAGGGCGCCTGCCTCTGTCCCCCGCCGCAGGAAGTGGAAGGGGGCTCTGGGTGGAACCAAACTCCTGCCCTCGACCTCGAACCCAACCTGCCAAGGGCTCTGTGGACTCTGGAGGGGATTGGTACGCTATGCTAATCAGATGGTGCAGTATGCTAATCAGATGGTGCAATATAATGATGTTAAAAATGTGACCTGAGTTTGTTAGGATTTCACACATGTTCCATACCTTTTATTTTAGTTTTGTTTTTGTTTTTTGTTTTTGTGGTGCTTGTTGTGGGGCTTGAACTTAGGGCCTGGGCGCTGTCCCTGAGCTTTTTCACTCAAGGCTAGTGCTCTACCACTTAAGCCACAGCTCCACTTCTAGTTTTCTCGTGGTTAATTGGAGATTAGAGTCTCCCAAACTTTCCTGCCTGAGCTGGCTTTGAACCCTGGTCCTCAGATCTCAGCCTCTTTGAGTAGCTAGGATGACAGGCCACAAACTCTAGAGGTAGAAATAGAGGATCGTCATCCATGGCTGACAGGGCCAAAGCATGAGAGTCTGCCTGAAAAATTTATAAAAGCAAAGAGGGTGAGAGAATGTCACTCAAGTGATGAAGCACTTGCCTAGCAAGTAGGAAGTACTCAGTTAAATCTCCAGTACCACAAACAAAACAAAGCAGATGCCAGGTGCCAGTGGCTGACTCCTGTAATCCTAGCTGCTCAGGAGTCTGAGATCTAGAGGATCAAAGTTGGAAGCCAGCCCAGGCAGGGAAGTCTAAGAGGCCCCCATCTCCAAAAATATCCACCAAAAGGATAGCTGGGGGCGTGGTTCAGTGGTAGAGCACCAGCCAGGCAAGTGCAAGACCTTGAGTTCAAAACCCCAGTATAGTTCTCCCTTCAAACCAAAAAGGTGCACTCCTCAGCCAGTGTGATGCCAGGAACCTGGACTGGTGGGACGCAGAGCCCGAGGCCTGGACGAGAGGAGGTGGTGCCAGGGCCCCACACATGTGGTCTGCGCGCAGGCTGGGGGTGCCTTGTCGCCTGAGCAGGCCGCTTCCGGAAGGACAGGGACACCATTAGCAACTCCCGGAGCGCATGCGTGTTTGGATCCAGATGCGTGATCACCCCACGTCAGATCCGGGCAGGGACGAAAACAACCCAGGCCCTAGTGAATCTTGTTAGAATTGGGATTCCTGGTCAAATGCTGACTCCTGACCTTCCCCGGCCTGCGCCTGTCATGGCTGTGTAGTGAGGGACACCTTCGAGGAGCCTGGGGGAGGGGGAGGTGGCTCGTGCCACCGGACCTGAGGCCCAGGAATAAAGCGCCCTATCCCGGGGTTCTGGGGTCACCGCTGCCCTGCTGTCCTTGGCAGGTACGAGCCCGAGCGGGACGAGTGGCATCTGGTGTCCCCGATGCTGACCCGGAGGATCGGCGTGGGCGTGGCTGTTCTCAACCGCCTGCTCTACGCCGTCGGGGGCTTCGACGGCACCAACCGCCTCAACTCGGCCGAGTGCTACTACCCGGAGAGGAACGCGTGGCGCATGATCACCCCCATGAACACCATCCGGAGCGGCGCAGGTGTGCGGGGCCGCCCAGCCCACCCCAGCCGATTCCCCGGTCCCGAGCCTCCCTCTCCTCGCTTCCATGCTTCTGGGGAATCCAGGCTGGCCTCCACTCACGAGCCTCCGGCCTCCGGCCTCCCGAGCCACCCCGCCCGGCGCCAGCGCGGCCTGGGAGGGGAGGGCGGAGGGGGCGGGCGGCTGGCCGGGTACCTTCCCCTCCCAACCCCCACGCGGTCCCAACAGGAGTCTGCGCACTGCACAACTGCATCTACGCGGCAGGGGGCTACGACGGCCAGGACCAACTGAACAGCGTGGAGCGCTACAATGTGGAGACGGAAACGTGGGCCTTCGTGGCCCCCATGCAGCACCGGCGAAGCGCCCTGGGGATCACCGTGCATCAGGGGAGAATCTACGTCCTGGGTGAGGCCCTGGGCGGGGGGCGCTCGCAGCCTCCATCTCCGTGCCAGGAACACGGCTGCCCCCGCCCGCCCCGAGAGCCCCTCCTGCCGCACAGGCCCCGCCCATGGACTGCAGCCCCGCCCCACGGGGCCAAGGCTCCGCCCCCACGGAGCAGAAGCCACGCCCCCGAGGGGCAAGGCTCACATGTCAAGAGGGCGGACTCCGCCCCCACCCGAGACAAGGCCTGCCCACAGGAGCGCAGGCCCCGCCTTCACGCATGCTCAGTAAATCCGAATCCCACCCCATCCTCGCCCTAGTTGCTTTTCCTACCCTGGTTGGGAGGCCTTTGCTCTTCCATTGTCCCATGACTGCCCTTTCTGCCCTGCCCGCAGGAGGCTACGACGGCCACACATTCCTGGACAGCGTGGAGTGCTATGACCCAGACACGGACTCCTGGAGCGAGGTGACGCGCATGACTTCCGGGCGCAGCGGCGTGGGCGTGGCCGTCACCATGGAGCCCTGCCGGAAACAGGTGGACCAGCAGAACTGCACCTGCTGACCCCGCCCACTGCGCCGAGCTTGGGGTGGTTGGTTTTTTTCCCCGCCCCCCGGGTTTTTTTTTCTACAAAGACGGACAGAAGACAGAGCCAATCAGCATCCGCCGAGGCGGGACCTGGGACGTCTCTGCGCTAATGATAACCCAATGGGAGCCTGCCCCGCCCTCCCGCTGGCCTGGGCGGGGCACAGGGGAAAGGGCACCGCCCCTCCCTCCGGGGCGGAGATCACCTCGGTTTTCCCATCCTGCTGCTGGGTGATGGTTGGGTTCCCCCCACAGGACCCAGGAGGGTCTCCAGCCAGGCTGCGCGGGCCAAGCCTCTCCAGGACCCGTAGTTAAATGCCCAGGACGGACCTGGACTTGCCAGGCCACCAGGTCCCTGGTGACATTTTGTTAAGTAACCCTGTAACTTTCCAATGAAAATAAAGAACAGACTAACTAGTGTCTGCCAGCTGCGGGAATGAAAGCCCGGAGGCCGAGGCTCCAGGCCCGGCCTTGGAGGGCATGCGTGTAATTCCGGTTTTTCTGTGCAAGGCGGGCTTCACCCTCCTAGCCGTCATCTCAGCAGTTCCAGCTCCTGGCCACCGGTGCCCCAGGCCTGGCCCCGCCCCGAGGGCCCCGCAGGCGGCTGTCCTACTTAGGATGCAGTTTTCTTTTTGCTTTTGACAGACTCAGCCCCGGCTGATTTTGAACTAGTGATCCTTCTGCCTTGTTTTCTGGTGCCAGTCCTGGGGCTCAAACTCAGGGCTTGAGCACTGTCCCTGAGCTTTTTTGCTCACAGCTGGCACTCTTACCACTTGAGCCACAGCTCCTCTGCAAGCTTTCTGGTGACTCATCGGAGACTCTTGGGCTGGGCAATGGTGGCTCACACCTGTAATCCCAGCTACTCAGGAGGCTGAGATCTCAGGATCCTAATTTGAAGCCAGCCCAGGCAGGAACGCCCCTGAGACTCTTATCTCCAAGTAACTACCAAAAGCCTGGAAGTAGCACTGAGGTTCAAAGTTGTAGGGCACTAGACTTGAATAGAACTCAGACAAGCCAGGCATCCGTGGCTCACACCTGTAATCCTAGCTACTCAGGAGGCTGAGATCTGAGAATCACGGTTCAAAGCCAGTGTGGGCAAGGACAGTCCGAGAGACTTTGATCTCTAATTAATCACCAGAAAACTGGAAGTGGTGCTATGGTTCAAGTGGTACAGTGCTTGCCTTGAGCTGAATTGCACCCAAAGTTGAAGCCCGAAAACCAACAGGAAAAAAAGAAAGAAAGAACCAGGCTCAGAGTTGAAGTCTCAAAACTACTGGGATGAAAAAGTCTCTTGGACTTTCCTGCCTTGGCTGGCTTCAAACCAGGATCCTCAGATCTCAACCTCCGTAGTAGCTAGATTCTAGGTGTCATACACTAGTGCCCAGGCTTGATTATTGGTATTTTGTTCAAATCTCATGTTGTACTACTTGAGCCATTCCTCCATGCTGGCCATTTTCCTGATAGTTGAAAATAAGATTCTCCTGAGCTTTTGTGCCCTGTCTGGCTTGGCATCAAGTTCCTTAGATCTCAACCTCCTGAGTAGCTCATTTTGACATGGAACACTTAATCCTCCTGCCTCCATCTCCTGAGTGCTGGAGTTATAGGCATATGCTACCATGCACTGGAGGAAGAAAGATGAATGAAGTAAGGGCTCAGTGTTTAGGGAATCACCTGGCTCAGAACTTAGAAAGGAAGGTTTGGAAGATGGCTCCGTGGTAGAGTGCTTGACTTGCATGCATGAGGCCCTGGTTTGATTCTTCAGCACCACATTAGCAGAAAGAGCTGGAAGTGGCTCTGTGGTTCAAGTGGTAGAGCGCTAGCTTTGAGCTAAAGAGCTGAGGGACAGTGTCCAGGCCCTGAGTTCAGGAAGAAAGAAAGAAAGAAAGAAAGAAAGAAAGAAAGAAAGAAAGAAAGAAAGAAAGAAAGAAAGAAAAGAAAGGAGAAGAAAATGAAATCGGGCTGGGAAGGTGTTTCAGTGGTAGAGTGCTTGCCTAGCATGAAGCCCTGGGTTTGATTCCTCAGTACCACATACACAGAAAAAGCTGGAAGTGGTGCTGTGGCTCAAGCGGTAGAGTGCTAGCCTTGAACAAAAGCAGCTCAGGGACAGTACCCAGGCCCTGAGTTCAAGCCCCAGGACTGGCCAAGAAAAGGAAAAAGTCAAAGCTGGGTGTGATGATGTATATCTGTAATCCCAGCACTGGGAAGGCAGACAGGAAGATTGCAAATTGTAATCCAGTCTGGGGTACATAGGAAGCTGAGCACTGTGCCTCAAACCTATAATCCTAACTTCTCAGGGGGCTGAGATCTGAGGATCACAGTTCAAAGCCAGCCTGGGCAGGAAAGTCCATGAGACTTTTATCAACAATAAATCACCAGGAAACCGGAAGTGGCGCTGTGGCTCAAGTGGTAGAGCGCTCGCCTTGAGCTGAAGAGCTGAGGGACAGTGCTCAGACCCAGAGTACAAGCCCCACAACCAACAAAACAGAATAAGGGATGAGGAGGCTTTGTCACAGTAGAGAAATAGCCCAAGTACAATCAAGGGTGCGAACGAGCACAAGGCCATTGCCACATGCCCTGCAGCGTGACTGGAGTTTGGGGCTGAACTGATTCTGTGCAGTGCTAGAATCTGGAGATTCGGTGTCCAGTCCCTGTCTGTGGGAAGTAGGCTTTCGACACCGCTGAGTAGAAGCCGCAGGCGGCTGGTGGAGCAAACACTGCCTAGCAGTGTTATTTGTTTACACAGGAACAGCTCCCACACAGCTCAAGGTGACCCTGCCTCACAGGAATGACGGGAAAGTACATGACTAATTGCAAGCCGGCCTGGGAAGTGCGTGTGCACACAGGCGGGCGCTGTGTGCCAGCCCTGAGGCTTGAACTCTGGGCCTGGGCGCTGTCCCTCAGCTCTCCAGCTCAAGACAAGTGCTCTACCCCTTGAGCCACAGCGCCACTTCTGGTTTTCTGGTGGCTTACTGGAGATAAGACTCTCATGGACTTTCCTGCCCGGGCTGGCTTTGAACCACGATTCTCAGATCTCATCCTCTTCAGTAGCTGGGATGACAGGCAGACTCAGCAGCACTTACCTTAGCTAAGGTGTTTGTTTGTTTGTTTTTGACAGTCCTGGGACTTGAACTCTGGGCCTGAGCGCTGTCCTTGAGCTTTGTTTGTTCAAGTCTTGTACTCTACCACTAGACCCACAGCACCACTTCCAGATTACTGGTAGGTTTAGTGGAGATAAGAGACTCAGACTTTTCTGTCCTGGCTGGCTTTGAACCATGATCCTCAGATCTCAGCCTCCTGAGTAACTAGGATGACAGGCTTGAGCCATGGGTACCCAGCCTTACCAGTCTGATTTGAGGAAGTCCTCTCCAGAAAGAGTGTGGAGTCCCCCTGTGGGTATCTGGTGAAGAGAATTAAATCCCAGCTATGTTCTTTTCCTAAATCAATCTTCTTCAAAACCCCTAGCCAAGGGGTCAGGGAAGTTGGCTCAGTGGTAGAGTGCTTGCCTTGCATACATGAAGCCCTGGGTTCGATTGTGTGTGTGTGTTTGTGTGTGTGTGTGTGTGTGTGTGTGTGTGTGTGTGTACTGGGATTTGAACTCTGGACCTTGGAGCTGTCCCTGAGAATCTTTGTGCTCAAGGCTAGTGCTCTACCACTTGAGCCACAGCACCACTTCTGGCTTTTTCTGAGCAGTTTATTGGCCATAAGTCACAGACTTATCCAAGATCCTCCTGAGTAGCTAGATTATAGGCATGACCCACCAGCACCTGGGTCCTTCCCTTTTCTTCAGTGTTGGGGTTCTATTCCAGAGCTCCCCACATCCTAAACCAGCGCTCTACCCCTGAGCCACCCAGCCCCCAGTGGTTACATTTCTAGTGTCTTCAAGTTGAGGGTTTTATAAGATCTGTGGGAGACCCACAATGCAATCTACCAGGCTTTGAGTTCTACACCTGGAAGCTCTATGTCCCCCTGTGCATCACACGGCTTGGGACCTCCTGTACATCACACGGCTTGGGACCTCCTGTACATCACACGGCTTGGGACCTCCTGTACATCACACGGCTTGGGACCTCCTGTACATCACACGGCTTGGGACCTCCTGGCATCAGGCGACAACCCTGTATATGGCACCTGTTTGCTCAGTACCTCAGGAACTGTGAGCCATAGGTGAGAAATATTTAATCTAGTGTAAGTAGGTTCTCATTCTCCCTTTGGCTACCATTTTGGAAGAAACAGCCCCAATTCCTCATCTGATTGGGGTGTGTGTGTGTGTGTGTGTGTCCTGGGCTTGAACTCAGGGCCCAGGTGCTGTCCCTGAACTTTTTTTTTTTTTTTTTAATTTTTTTTTTTTTCCAGTCATGGGGCCTGAATTCTGGGCCTGGGCGCTGTCCCTCAGCTCTTCAGCTCAAGGCGAGCGCTCTACCACTTGAGCCACAGCGCCACTTCTGGCTTTTTTTTTTTTCTTTTTGCTTATGTGGTACTGAGGAATCGAACCCAGGGCCTCATGCATGCAAGGCAAGCACTCTACCACTGAGCCACCTTCTCAGCCCTGTCCCTGAACTTTTTACATTCAACTCTAGCACTCCACTACTTGAGCCACAGCTCTACTTCTGGCTTTTTGGTGCTTAATTGGACATGAGTCTCTCAGACTTTCCTGCCTGGGTTGGCTTTGAACCATGATCCTCAGATCCCAGTCTCCTGAGAAGCTAGGATTACAGACTCCTTATCTGATTTCACAGGTGCTGTGTGACACATTCCTCTATTAGCTCCTCCCTTCCCTCCCCTGACTTTTGGGACTAAGCTGCTGGCATCTGCTATTTGGGGTTCCTAGGGGATCTTCTCAAATCTATGAGGATCATGAGACCTTTTAGGGGGCTCACTTCAGTTTGGGAGGCGTTGCCTTGGGGAGGGGAGAGGTGCTGCAGCCCTATGGGGTGTGAGGAAAGCAATACTGGAAACCCTCAGGAAGAGAAGGAACAGGCTGGGCCCCTTTTCAAGAATGAAGAACACAGCTGGGCGCCCTGGCTTGTGTCTGTCATCCTAGCTACTCAGGAGGCTGAGATCTGAGGATCTTCTTCAAAGCCAGCCTGGGCAGGAAAGTCGGTGAGACTCTTATCTCTAATTAACCAGTGAAAAGTCAGAAGTGGAAGTGTGGCTCAAGCAGCAGGGTGCCAGCTTTGAGCACAAAAGCTTAGAAAGGATGCACAGGGCCTGCGCTCAAGGCCCCGGACACGCGCGGGAGGGGGGGGGGAGGAGTAGCGGAAGCGCTCCTCATTGGCTGTTTTCTCTGCGAATGACAAAATCCCGAACCAATCGCAGTGTGGAGGCTTCCTTGCCACGCCTCCCCGTCTTCCTTGCGCTGCTGCACCTCCCTAGCCCATCTGTAGAGGGCGCTGGAGGGCTTAGGCGCTGGGCCTG